CACAAACTAGAAACTGAACTCACTTTCCTCGCCCTATATCTGGTTAGGAAACAGCTGGACCTCCAGCAACTTTTCCATTCACAGAGAAGTATCTCACCATATAATCCCTTGCCCAACTACACCATTTCAGAAAGAGCATCAAAGCTAGCATGTCTCCACCATCGCAGTTGCTGGAATCAAGCAGCAGCTTACTAGATGGTAGCTAAACTGAAGCACCAAAAGTCAAGTCAAAAGTGAATTCACTTCAGGTGAGACTAGCTACCAAGCGAAGATTTAGAAACGTGAAGGCTGGCCACAAGGGAAGAGTATACAGTGTCATCAGGTGTAAGGCCTGCCTCTATCATCTCATCATACAACCTAAAAGCTTCATCTGATCTTCCCTCCTTTGACAAGCCTGAAATCAATGCAGTGTAAGTTACTATGTTTGGGACTAAACCTCTCCAAGCTATCTGCTTAATAAATAGTTTCAGAGCCTCATCCATCTTTCCAAATACACATTCTCCATGTAGAAGTGATGTGTATGTATATATGTCAGGCAAAAGCCCTTTACTTTCCATCTCATCTCTTAGCTTTTGAGCTTCCTTCATCTTTCCTTTCTTGCAATATCCATCTATCAGGGCATTGTATGTCACAACATTAGGTCTCTCTCCGTTATTCTCCATCTCTCTGAACACTCTTTGAGCTTCAACAAGATTTCCTTCTTTGCAATATAAATCTATCAAAGTTGTGAACGTGACTGTGTTTGGAGCCACACCCCTATCAACCATTGAGAACAGCAACCCCTTTGCTTCCTCATGCCGATTCAGTTTACACATCCCAGTAGCAATGATATTATAAACAAATACATCAGCCTCAAGCCCTTTTTTCTCCATGATAACCTTCAATCTCATCGCTTCATCTAGCATCCCCCACTTACAATATCCATCCATCAATGTGTTAAATATCACCCGATTTGCATCAAGGCCTTTGCTTTGCATCTCGTTGAGCAAACTTTCCGCCGCCTTTATCTCCCCAGCTTTGCACACACCATTTATCAAAGCCCCATAAGTGTGGGCATTTGGAACAAGGCCCCTCTCTGTCAATCCATCAAACAATTTAAATGCCCTCTTTATATTCCCTAACTTACAGTTCCAACTAATGAGTGAAGTGTAGACATGAACATCAGCCTCTATACCCTTCTCATGCATTTCCTCAAATAGTTTCTCTGCTTGTTCAATATTGCCAGAGCTCGAATACCCCTCAATCAAAGAAGTATATGTCGCCACATTGCGTGATACTCCTTCCTTCTCCATTGCAGTCAACATTTCTTTGACTTTCTCAAAATCCATTTTTCTCATATACGCATCTACTAATGTATTATATGTATAAGCATTGGGTTTAGTCCCTCTACCAATCATTTCATTCATTAATTCTCTTGCATTATCAACCTCTCCTCTTTTACACAATCCATCAATCACTATTGTCATTGAATAAACCGTAATTCTCACCCCCGACTCAACCATCATACGAAAGAACCCAAACAAAGACTCCAGTTGATCACTTCTCTTGAGTGCAAGTAAATAAACCATGCAAGACCTCTCATCAATCTCAAACCCATTATTTTTCATGTACTCAAAAACCTCTAGACCTTCTTTAAACCTTCTATTGTCAACGTACACCCTAAATAGCATATCAAATAGCTTCACAACAATTTTGGGTTCTTTATAATCAACCGCTACAAAAGAAGCTATGTCTGAGACTGGACGGATGAGATCATCATCAAGAGCAACATGGTTCAATACATTCTTGGCTTCAGCAAATTTTCGGGCTTTGAATAAGCGGCAGACTACAGTTATGTGGGCTTGAAGATCGGGTTTTTGCGAAGACAGAAATGGGTTGGTCTGGAGGAATTTGAAAAAGTGTAAGCAAGATTGGGTAGATACATGTGGGTTTGATAGAACAAGGTTCGTTACTTCGGAATTATAATTGGAAATGAGAGACTGTGAGAATTGGAGGTGTTTAGAGGATGACGTAATTAGGGTTTTGGAAATGAAATTGGAAATTTCAAGATTTGATTTTGAGGTGGAGTTTGCTGGGAAAACTTGTTTGACAGTATTGAAGAATCTTTGAGTTGACATTTCCCCAGAGAAAATAAAAGAAGCAACTATAAGCTTTGAATATCAGAAACCCGATTGTACCTGCTGAGGGAGTAAAATAGTAGAGAGAAAGAGAGAGAGACGGGTGATCAGTGATGTACCTGCTAAGGGAGTGAAGCAAATCGTGAAGAAGTGTAGAAAATCGTCAAGGCAGTAAGATCGATCTGATTATGGTGGTGGAGGACTCCGACAGTCGACCACACTTCGCCGATTTGTCAATTGTTTGATTCCTTCGAGGCTTCGACAGTCGACACTTCGACTGAGAGAGAGAAAGGCTTCGACAGTCGGCATCATCAATTACAAAGTTGAGCAACTTATCAATTTTGGTTCCCTGCTTCTCAAGCATTTCATCAAGCTGTATGCGGATACTTTGAGAGAGAGAGAGTCGCCTGAGCTGCTCGCCGGACTCGAGGGAGGCAGAAGAGGCGCAGCACATCAGAAGTTGCAAAACGATTAGGGCAAAACTGCCCAAAACTCCAAAAGCTTGGATTTTTATTCCCTTTTAAATACCCCGCCCAGGTTGTAAAAAACCGAACGGTTTAGCGGGGTTGAGACAAGAACCGGACGATTCATCGAATTTTATCTAGCTTTTATTCTTAAACTATCTAATAAGTGAACCGTCCCGGTTTAATTCCGGTTCACGGGTCAATCCATCGGACCGAACCGGGGTTTAGACTGTTAATAAAACTGGTCCTGTACAAAACTTGAACTCAAAAATTCTTTTTTTTTTTTTTTAAACATTTTTTTTTGGGGGGAGGAGAAGGGAGAAGGAGAAGTTGAACATTTAACCTCAATAAAACAAAGTCTTTACAATACAAGAAATACTATTGGACCAAAGGCCCACCGGTGAACTCAAAAATTCAAGTAGTAGGTTTGCATGTCAAAAGGTAATGTAATTTTTTGATAATTATTTAGTACTATTTATATTATTATGGTAAATATTAATAAAGCTTAATTTAACATTTTCATCTAGGGCCATGCTATCCACGGGGTCAGGTTAATGGCATAGCAATTGAAGCCGCGATTTTAGGTCCCTAAATCATTAGGGCCCCATTTTGTAAAGTTTAATCAAGTCTAACACTTAAATAAAATTTTTAGATACATATTCAGTTCAATTTTATTTTATTACCTTAAAAAAATAAAATTTAGAGTTTTTTCAGATTTGATTTGTTTTTTTTCATTGATTATATTAACATTAAATTTAGTAAAATTATATTTTACCAATACACCAAGCATCATACTTTTTTTGAATTAATTATACCTTCTATTCAGAAAACCACCTTAACAAAATTTTAATATAAAAATCTAATAAATATTTTTGCATCTCAAAAAATAATAATATAAATAATATTGTATAATTATTTAAATTTTAAAATTAATAAGACTTCATTTAAATTTTTACTTTAGACCTCATTTTGTGTTGGGACGCTCCTGAGAATCCTTTTTTTTTTTTTCAGGGTGTCCGAATTATGGGTGTTAATCGAGATGAGTTACTCAAACTCGACTTAAATAGGGTTCAACTCAAGCTCAACTAGTGTTTTAAACGAACAAAGCATAAATAATTTTTTAGGTTCGTTTTTTTAAACACAACTCATTTATATGTAAAATAATTAAATTCTTAGAATTCGCCTCCAGCTTGGACTCAACTCATCTTTTAAATAAATTGAGTTTGAATAATTTTTTAGGTTCGTTTAGAAAAATGAATTCGTCAGACTCATGTTTAAGCTCGCAAATCTCTCGATTCAATTAACACCCCTAGTTCGGACTAATTTACGCACGTATCGATTAATCTCCAATCCAATCAAAAATTTATGAGGAATAAATCCTGATACCCAGAATTGCACTAAAATTCAAACTCTACTGAATTTCTAACTTGCTGTAAATTATCCAACAATCCTTCCATGGTTGGTGCGCATGCTTTATAATTCTACCTTGTCATGCTCAAATTACCAACCAAAATGTGCAGTCCGGGTTGTGGTCCAACGCACAAGGTACCAGTGAGTCAGGACAGTGCAATTTGCAACGAATCATGTTCAGTAACATTGACAGCCTCTTTTCATCCAACTTGTGAATCTACTCAATGCACCATTCCATCGGTTTTTTTTAAGTTATAAGAGTGTCTAAGTTTGCAAATTGCAATGACTATCTCCTTGAACCAATTTTATATAATTTTTTAAATTCTTTGTAAAAACGAGCCTTAAAAAATTTTTGAGTGTATAAAAGAAAAGTAATACTATGTATCTCAAATTTATAATTTAAATTGTATCTCAAATCAAGACTAAGATCTCATCAATTTTTTTAAATAAAATTTATTGATCTAATAATCTTTCTTAATTTAAAATATAAATTTAAGATACATGTCGTTACTCGTAAACAGAGACAGAGAAGGGACCAGAGCAACGTTGTTTTCGCAGTACTTCAATTTGCTTCTCTCATATCCATTACACCAATCTTTTCTTTCACCGACGGAAAATAGAAACAGACCATTGAATCTCTACCTTTTATGAAACTCTGCACAGAACAGAGAATAGAAACTCTCTCTTTCTCTCTCATTGGAAAGATTAAAGCACTGTTTGGCTCTTGCTTCGTCGTCGTCGTCTCTCCGGTGCTCGCTCGTTTACTTCAAATTCAGCATCTTCAATTATCGAAAATTTGGGTTCTGAAGCTCTGAACCCTTCACGCCATTGCTCATAAAGTAGTCCAATTTTGGTCTTCTATCAATGCTGTGGTTAATTTGATCATTTTCTTAAAGCTGAGCTTCTAATTCTGCTTAGCGGTGGGATTGGATTGAACCTGTTCTAGTTTTTTGTCCGGTTTTAGTAATTTGATAGTTAATCTGAGTAAATCACTATTTTAATGGAGCAAATGGAAGGAACTGAGGTTAGATCCGCGAGTTGCGGAGCCAAATCCGAAGAAATTGAAGTTGATTCGTTTCGATTCCGCGAAGAAATTCAACGATTAATGCCCATACCACCACCGGAGACTGGTAGTTCCTTCACCGCTCTTCTTGAACTTCCGGCGAATCAAGCCATGCAGATCCTAGACTCCCCGGAAACTGATGATGCGCCGCCAACACTTTACGGCTGCCGAATTGAACATCCCAAACCTTGTATGACTATTTTCCCGTCGTGCACGGCTTTAGTAGATCAAACTTCGAAGCCCTCCGTCTTTGCAACGGCCGAAAAGTGTTGGCGAATTCGAGCTCAAAATTGGATAAGGTGAAGCAAGAACCGATAGATTGGGGGTTAAACCCTAATTCACTGGGTTTGAAGCATAATCAGAGATCATCAGCAAAGAGAAAGGAGCGAGAAAAGAAGGTAATTCTCCGAATTCCAAATTAGGGTTCCTGGTGATCCATTTATAGCATTTGATCATTTTTTTTTGGTTAAATTAGGTTAAAGGATCGAACGACAAGAGCAAAACTGTAGCAAATGAGAAAATCGAAGATGGCGAAAAGCTTCCGTACGTTCACGTTCGAGCTCGTCGTGGTCAAGCAACAGATAGCCATAGCTTAGCTGAAAGAGTAACTTCATAATTATCAGAGTTCATTAACTTTATAATCAGGCATTAACATAAGTATGATTAGTTGTTGATTAGTTTCGTGTTTATATGTATAGGCGAGGAGAGAAAAGATTAATGCAAGGATAAAGCAACTGCAAGAACTGATCCCGGGATGTAAAAAGGTTAGCTGTCGTTTTCTTCATCTTTTTCTTGATGAGATTTCGGATTAGGATATCTGTCTCGATTATGCCTTGGCATTAGGCTTTAGTTAAAAGGCTAATGTCTTTTCGGAAAGTATACGAGGCTAATGTTGTCACACCCCCACCCCCGATCACATAAGGTGAGCAGCGGGCCGGTCACTAAAGTCTTAACCAACTAACTTTGTACATAATAAATGCAAAATATTGCAGAAGACAAATAATAAAGTGATTCATTCTACTAACCTAATGAATACCAGATGAATAAACTAAACATCATTACTAAACTCATATGAAATAATAATCAAATAATAAGGTTTACTATTCCAAATACGAGTAACATTGTTCTCAAAATAATTAAATATTTATTAAAAACTACAAAAGACATTTATTCTTGAAGACATACAATAAAATAAATCTTCAAGTCTTCTAATCTCTTGTCATCTGTGGACTTACTCCTCACCTTGATCCCCACTTAGAAAATATTAAGTGTTTATATGAACACAACGATCTGTGAATAGCAATCACGTCTAATGAGGTGTGAAAATAAGTCTCACAGTTTATATACAAAAATAAATTTTGATACATACATAAGTACAAAAAATTATACTCCCAACCCCTCTCACTTAATCATTTAACAAAATGATCTCATATTCACCAATAACTTTAAAAATAAAAAGACATTTATAACCTAAAACACCCACTTATTTTCACAAATAACTTTATAAATGAAAAAAACAGTTATAACCTAAAACACTCACACACACATTCAATTTTAAATATATTTGTCATATCATGTTTATTACCACTGGCCTGGTAATTGGCCCCGTCTCTTTTCACCACTAACCTAGTAATTGGTTTCGTCTCTTGCCATTACTAGCATGATAACTGACTCTTATGTGTACATCCGTATACAGATCACACCGGTATACTTTTAATCTCGTAACCATTTAGACCTGTTAACACAATCCCCGTTTTATAAAACATGATTTTTACACACACCAAAACTGTTGTTTTAATCTCAACGCACACAAAATTTTTCTTCTATCACCAAAAAATATTTAAACAATGATATAAAATCATCCCACAAGTTTTCAAAATTCACATGTACCACAATTTAAAATTGCAAAACATTTAATTACAAACCCAAATATCAACACATATATCATATATACAAAATATCTACACACACACACACCCTCAAATTTAATATAAAAATTCCTTCTAAAAGAAGTAATAAACTACTCACCTTGATTCCCAAAATCCAATTCAAAACTCTATTTTTCAATCTCAACGCAATCACTACCTAATCCAAAATAACATATAACGATCAATCTTTATTTTTAACTTCGTCATTTTGCGATTCTATATTTAATTTACATACTTCCTACCTATTAATATATATTTAATATATCTTTTACATAAAAATAACATTCTTAATGTGAGCTAATACGGTATGGAAGTAACGAGGGCAGTTTATAAAAAGTTCATCCACTGAAAGTTACACGACCTATAACTTTCTTCCTTCTTCCCCTTTGCTTTCTTTTTACTTCCTTTTTTTTTTTAACACATTAAATAAATTCTTTAAAAACTTCGAGACCAACCAATCTATAAAAACACCTAGCCACTTTCAATAAAACTTATTTACATATTCATCAATATTCTTCATCATATATATATATATATATGTATTCATTATCACTATTTATAATAAACTTAATACTATGTAATTGAATAAATTACAAAATCCACCAAATAATTAATAAATTTATACCTTCAAGGGTCCAATTCCTTTTTCTTTTTCGTTCGTCTTTTCTTTCTTTTATCTCTCTCTCTCTCTCTCGTATATATATATTTTTTTTGTTTGCTGCCACTTACTTTGGTCTTCTAAGGTTTTACCTATCCAACAATACTACTTTATTTAAAGCACATGTAGAATAGTTCTAATAGGTCTCTTCAGAGGCAAGACTTTCCTTAAAATTCATCCCTTCCCCTTTAGTTATTATTATTATTATTTTATAATTACTCTTAGTATCCAATACACTAAATAAATTTTTTTCTTATCTATTTATTTATTAGAAAGGTCCAAACACATACCGATATTGGATATTACAAATGTTATTCTCACCTTTTTAACAAAAACTAGTCCGCTTTTGCTCGCAGTAAAGTGTTTTGGCTGGTTGTTGATATGGCTCTTTCGTGGTACATTCCAATACCAGTACCTTTCTTTCAACTTTTCAACTTCCACCTTTACATACGAATGTTAAGACATAGACACTTTTTTTTTTTTTTTTTTTTTTGGGGTGGGGGGTTAGAATCCTTTTTAAGTCTAATTGATGAAGGGAAGAACGGATTTCTGAGCCCTATTATCGTGAAAATGAGGAAAGAAAGATAAAGATATCTCCTAGTGATATTTGATTTTAGTTTGTAATGAAGTGTTTAACAGCCATTTGAGAGATGCATGGTACAAGGAAATGGTCAAAGTTACTAAGTTTGGCTTCCACCTCAACTATGATGACCCAAAAACAATTCTAGAACACATCTGTTGGCGGCCTAACCCGAACTTTGTATAATATGTGATAGTTCGTGAGTCTTAATTGATGTATGCGAGTAGAAGAGGATTTATGTTTTATACTCCATTTGTTTCTATAAAAATGGAAAAAGAAACAAAATGGCAAAGCAGCTCAAATAGTTCGACGTAATGCATAATTCTCTGTTGGACCACCAATTATTATGGTTTGTAACTTTAAAAGTCTGCTGGAGCTTCCATGACTGAGAAATTGTTGATTTAAATGCTGTCAGATCTCGCCTACCTTTTAAAAGAAACGGTGTCAGGTCTGAGTTGCACCAACATGATGGCTCTCTGTTTCTTGATTAATTGAGCATGTACCACACTAGGGTAGGATCTAACTGTATATTTATGGGTAGTGAGACTTAGGAGGCAATACTCCCTAAATATAGGGTACTACCTTTGAAGTAAGATTTTTGGACAAAAGGTTGATTTGGAAACCACCTTACTTGCTTACTTTCTTCTGTGCCCACAATTATTTCAGTGTTTGGTTCATTTTTGGCCAGTTAAGGGGAATCATTTGTGGCATACCTTAAGCAGTCATTCTTGCCTGATTTGGTTTCCATTATTTACAGATGTGTGCACTCCAGTTCTATTCACATTCTGATATCTTGTTATAATTTTTCTTTTATCATATTTGTGATCGTTTGAACCTGAAAACTTGCTGATTGGACCCGTATGTGGTCCTTTGTAAATTTTTTGTATAACAATTGGAGATGAATCACTGGGCTTGTTGGCACTCCTGCTCTTAAGTTGATAGTGCAGTCTTTCATTGCCCAGCCAAACTACACTGAAAAAAATAATGTATCTCTTAATGTGAAGGAACTACAGTACAATTGCAAATGTCTTTTCAACAAAAAGTATCAATAAACACAAACTGCATGAGCTTCCATTGTTTTTCAATTTAAGGAACTGACATATAGATCTTATCGAAAACTTAAAAAAAATAGAGCTCATATATGGCAGCATGGCAGAAGCTTGCAGTGGGCATTTTTTATTTTACATGCTATGTATTAAAGGAAGTTAACATCTTCGTTTTAGTCGGGTGGTTAATTGCCAAATACGGTCGACTAGTTGATTACCAAGAAAAAATTCACACTTAGTGAACAGTTTTGAGATTATAAAGCATCTCCTATTTGTTTGGTAAATTTACAACGGATATTGGTTGATTTATTAAAAAATTAAATGGATTATTTAATTGCAGATTTCAGGTACAGTAATGGTGCTGGATGAGATTATCAACCATGTACAGTCCTACAACGTCAAGTGGAGGTCAGAGTCATACATTCATTGCATCTGATGTATAAATGTTACATTATAGGTGTCATTTTACTAATGAACAGCGATGCAAGACATGTTGATCTATTTGTTCTGAAGAATGTTGGTCAATGAAAAATTGTCATGGTTTATGTAATTTTTTAAAATTTGATCTCAAACCTTTTATTTATTTCATGTTTCTTTTTGCTTTTGGTGCCTTGGGGGGTGGGAGAAAGGTTCTTCTTAAATCTGCACCTGGTGAATAAACAGAAAAGTAACAACAACCATTAGATGGTCTAAAATCCATTTCTTAATCTATTTAAATAGTTTAAGTGAACTGCAGATATGTACATGTAGGCCTATATATCTAAATCTTCTTCCATGTGAAACATAGACTGCTGAGACTGAATACCCATAATGGTTCACTTTCTTTGAATTGCTTGTAGACGTTTGGTTCCCAAATAAGAGGTAAATAACTCTGTGGTCTACCCAGATTCAGAATACATTTTTACCTCCCAAAAATGTCAAAATCACGTTGTTGAACAGCCCTAAAAATCGATTAACTCCACACTATCACTTGAAAATTGTGTTATAGTTGGTTTCCTTGGTTATTTTTCTGATTATGTATTTGTGTTTACTTCAGCTCTTATCAATGAGACTTGCTGCTGTAAACCCAAGAATTGATCTCAATCTTGACAGTCTCTTGGCTGCAGAAGTAAGTATTAGAGAACCATTTCTCTTAGCTGTCCATTGCGTGAAATGTTAATGTTAATGTAAGGTTCTCTAGGCTGTATTTCTTTCAGTTGATCTGACGTAACACTTCTCCTTATAGATTTGATGTTGCTTAGCTGTGACCAATGGTTTGGCATTAACTAAGCACCTTCCTTGCTTATATTCAAAGAAATACCAGCATAGGTCAGCAAATGTTTGTAGACTTTTTTAGGCAATTGGACTGGGAAATAATATTTTTTCTGGGAAATTTATTGTGGCTCTGTTTTTCAGACCCCTACTCAAGATCTCAAAAGGACAGTCTGCCACAACCAATGTGGGCAGACCGGGGGGGATCAGACTTGGACCACCTGTGCTATCTGCCACGTATGCACATTTACAACTTCAAAACTGTTCATAAGATTACAATCTGTTAACATGGTAAAAATCACAATACAATAATTTTATTTGTCATAGGGCTTAATTTTGTGGGACTCCTGGACTAATGGGTCCCCTCTTAAAAGCCACAACATGGAAGAATGGGCATGGGCAGAATTCATTTGATATCAATGTATGTGCAATCCTTGTAGTTTCTAACCAGTCTATACCCTGGTAAGATGAGGAATGTATAGACAAATTAAGGAAGGTATTAAAGTGGTGTTGTTTTCTTGTTTTGGATACCGTGTCACAAGCTCAACTTTTCTCCCCTAGCGCCATTGCTTGCTGCAATGGAACTGATAATTATGTGAAACTGGCAATGGAGCACGATTCATTCCATTTGATTGCTGTAAATCATTCACTAAAGTTACAGTATGTGGCCTTTGATTTTTTTCAGTCATGGTTGACTTCCAATGATTGGTATTTAGTGATGCAGTTATCAGGAAAGCAAGAGATGAAATTCAGTAGAAAAGTTAAGACATCGATCAAATTCGTTCTCATCTTGGTTCATATAATAATAGTTGGGGGGATTGTTGAATTCATTTTGAACATCAATGTTACATATTCCATTTAATCGTTTGCAAACTTTGCAGGGTGGATCTGCAATGGACACTGACTTCCCGGGGATGGTGATGCCATTGATGTGGCCAGAAGGACAAGTAAATGGAAACAGACAACAATATCAACTACTACAGCATTGTGATGGACTACATGAATCAGCCTGGGGTAGGGGAATAGACTACTCTTGCTTTGTTACTCCGGAGAACTCAATTTTAAGTTTCGACTCTTCTGCAAATTCAGGTAAACACATTTCGATAGTGCTCCATGAGCTGTTCATTTTCCCCTTTCCAAATTCACGTGTAGGTTTAGAATATGAACCCAAGCTGTGCATGTAGATGGTTTATTATTCATGGAGCAATGCTATAGAGACCTAAACAGGGACATAATTCAATGCACCCATTCGATTAGTTATGAGTTCCAATGTCGGATGGAGGCCACTCCTAATCCAATGGTTACATTGAATTAGGCCTCCAAATTAAGTCCGAATAGCATTTTTCATATTCAGGAGAGTTTCAAGAGAACATAACATTGAGTTCCATCCATTATTTGTAATTATTTTTGTACAACTACAAAGACCCAAAAAAGAAGAGGGAAAAAAACAGTTAAATGAAATGAATTCACCTTTTTCTGGGTTCTCCCAAGTACCTTCATTAACAATTTGTTGTTAGCATCAACGTTGGTCATGCATATTGTTTCCACAGTCCACCCCCCAAAAGAAGGTGCTGCCGATTGAAAAACAAAAACAAGGACAGAGGATATGAGTTATTCTCTTAAAAGCAAGCACTTTGAAGCAGTGAGGTTAATTCCAAATTGTCATGTCACGCAGCCCCTTTCCACTCAAATCAGCTGAAATGCAGATATGAAGGCATACTGAAGCTCCAGTTGTAGTTAGAAGTGCATATGTTGGACATGATATTAGCAGACAGCCCGTGCGGAAGTAGAGAGGAGGTATTAGCATTTGACTTTGGTTTACATTCGACAGTTAGCTGGAAATCCAGATTTATTTCAGCTAGGGATGAGAAAATTTGGTATGTAGTACTAACTTAAGAGGGTCATTCAATCTAATACTTTATGTATGAGATGATTGGTTGATTTCATTATGTAAAACCAAGAACAAGCAGGGCTTATTCTATTTATGTTATTGAGATCGACTTTTTGGTCATCCTTTGCTTGCTTTCTAATACTGGCACCTCTTCCTGAAATGGCTGGCGATGCTATATTGCTATTGATGGTGAATTGGTGATGAATACGATATGTACTCCTATATTTTCCTAGTATTTTCCTCTTCCTCGAATGAGCATGATTCTCAACTTGTTCATTCGTTGAGACATTTCATATTGATTGTTTCGTCTGCATTTTTGTTCAGCTGGCTGTAGCATGTTCTTACACCCTTTTCATTGGTAATTCAGAGGACTAGATTTATGTTGAGAAACAGGATTTCCTTTTCATCTCCATTGGATTAATACTTTTAGGATGGTTCTTCTTGCTATCGCGTTCCTGTGGATAATACTTGAAACCCTTGGCCGAGTGAAGATGTTCTCTCGATACTTCGTTCATGTTCTTGGTTGCAAGCCATCCAGATAGTTTCTCTAGTTCTTGGGAGTATACAAGTACCCTGGAGAGCATTAGGATCAGCTTGAAAACCGCTTGCATCTATCCAATTAGCCACATTATTTTGTCTGCCTTGTTAGTTCTATTTGCCCTGCTCAACGGTGATGGCCTGTATTAAGCTCTTGAGTTCCCAGTCTGCCTTGCTTCTGGGGTCCTGAATTGCCTTGATCACACCATGTACATTAGACTTTTAAGATAAAAATTGCATACAAAGTGCACAAAGCTTCCATCTATAGCGGAATTTAGGAGAGGTGCTAATCCATTAAAGCAAAAAATCACAAGTTCGAGTTCAAAAATCAATCTTTCTAGAATGGGGAAATAACTGCTGTACCAAATCACTTGACTCTCACCTCATCTGAATCGCCTCCATGTATCAATTATTCAGTCAATGATGGATGACACAAGTGGCAACAGGGGAGGGTGGTTCCTGTATTGTCACAAAGAAAGCTTCTTTGTCGTAATGTTATTAGCTATGAGCATCTTTAAACGGAATAGGGATTCAAATTTTCTCTAATTCTTTCTTCCTATAGTTATCTCCATGGTAAAATAGAGGTCGGGTATTAGTAAAGAACTCACTTATATATAACGTTCTAACTTGAATTGGCTATAAATGATAAAAATATATATATCGAATGGATCTCACTCTAAATTGTTTCTTCTTCCCAACTCTTTCCAACATTTAATAGCCTGACTCCATATACTCTAGCCGCCCTCTCGAACATTGTTTCTTCTTCCCAACTCTCTCCATGATTCAAGGCTATGCTCCTTCAACCAGTTTATGTCGGGATTGCATTAAAACATCTTATTCCCTCTACACTGATCAAACAATAATGGGTGACCAAATTTATGCATCGAATTTCTTGTACTAAATGATGTGGCAACATCTTATTCATCGGATGTGTTGCCGGTATTAATGTGACCCATCAATCTAACAGCCCACGTCTTGTTTGAGGTATAAGAGTGATATAAGGGGGTGGTATAAGAAAAATAGTACGTGGGGCCTAACTTAAACCTTGTTTATTTGACATTTTTTATTAGATACTAATTTATGGGTCATAGTACCAACCCGGTGTGAACAGTAACACTAATGTCTTCTACACGGTGGTATTATATTCTCGGTATAAATGAATAGAGGTATAATAAACTAAAAATACCGAAATGCCCTCGTGTACAATGCTCATGTAAAAGCATAGTTGCAATTTTTGACTTTTTCAGATTAAAATTATCTTTTTACATTGGTTAGCTGCAATTGTTGATTTTTTTAAGTAGGGTATTACACAGATAATGTTTATGACAAACAAACAAGGGGAAGGATGAGATTATAGTTTAAAATCGGGTATAATATACCATCTATATCTTATACCGAGAATATAGTTTAGGATCAGAGTGGAATGAATATAAAATCTTATACCACTTAAATCTTATAGTCAAAACAAATGACCCCTTGGTGAGTAAATTTGATCACCACAGTATTATTACTGATCAAAATATTAGAGGAGTAATATTATTGTAACTTAAAAAATTAACTTAATTTGGTGATCAATCAAGTGATAGAATCTCAATAAAGAAATCAGTTATAATCACAACACACTATTGAACACACTATTGGACTATGTCACTGTGAATAAATTATGACAGTTTTTTAAATTTCAATAGAATTACTCATATTAGAACGGAATTTCATTTCTTTTTATAATTAATATTTTTTATTTATTTTCTAGGGTAAAAATTTTATTGATAGAACTAGGATAATGCAACCTCTCAACTTTCCTTCTCTCTCCTTTGTTTTTTCAGTATACAAAGAAAAATACCAACATGGTAAGATTGCACTGCCAAGTTTGTACCCCTTGTGATAATAAATAAATAAATTGTATTAAAAAAAAACCATTATTTAATAACAGAGTATAGTGGCGTCAGTCCCCGTAACAGATCTGTCTTGGATTCCTTCACATACACCTTCATTTCAATGTCACCCAATGCAATCATCTGCTTTGTAAGTCTATTAAATGTTTGCGTCAATTATACTTTCAAACTTTAATATTGGTAATAATAGTTTAAACGAGTTTAGAATATATTTTTTAAAAATAAGGGTGATTGACATTTAAGAAATATGTGAAATATTAAATAAAAGATAACTAAATTACTAAAAAGTAAGCTTAGTCACTGAATCACTCTTAAATGTTCAAAAATTATCTTTTGATACTAAGGGTTTCATCGAATCTGTGGTAAATAATCGATTGTTAAAAGAATTAAAAATAAAATATATGAGAAGAAATATACATACAAAAAATTGAGCAAGTTGAAAAAGATAATGCAATAGAAAGTTAAGATAATCTTTAAATAAATATTATAATTAATTTTAAAATATTAAAAATCGATCTAAAATAATCTCATTTTAGTATAGTCTCAAAGAAAATGAATTTACAATCTCAACCCTTATTCTATGATAATTTTAATATAAAAATACTTTTCCATCCCATAATCTTATCCCAAATTGATAAGTAACCAGTCAATCAAGCAGATCATGAATGACAACAGCTTTAAGCCTTTAAAACCCAACCCAACCCACCAACCACAAACCATTCCCCACCACCGCAAAATGGCAGAAACTGTCCCATTTCGCAGCCAATTATTACCCAGCTTAACCCTCATTCTCTTGTCCATCCTCCAATCAGATTCTGCCACGTCACGAATAATCCACCTTCCCAACCAATCCGACTCCAAGAACTTCACCATCTCCGTCGTGGACTTTGGCGCCGTAGGCGACGGCGTCCACTACGACACCGTTCCGATCCAGACCGCCATCGACTCCTGCCCTCCCACGACCCACTGCCGCGTCACGTTCCCACCCGGGACCTACCTAACTGCCACGCTCCGCCTCAAATCCGGCGTCGTTTTGGACGTACAAAGAAACGCCACCATTTTGGGAGGTACGAAATTGGAAGACTACCCAGAAGAGAGTGATAAGTGGTACGTGGTATTGGCGGAGGAGGCAGAGAACGTGGGTATTACTGGTGGAGGAGAGATAAACGGGCAAGGGTTGAGGTTTGTGAAGAGGTTTGATGAGAGGAAGAATGTGATGGTGAGTTGGAATCGGACTGGGGCGTGTTTGGGTGATGAGTGCAGACCCAGGTTGGTTGGGTTCATTGGGTGTAGGAATGTGAAGGTTTGGGATGTCAAGTTGACTGAGCCGGCCTACTGGTGGTGCGTATGCCCCCTCCCCCCCCTCTCTCTCTCTCTCACACACATACACACACACATTGATAATTGATTGAGTTTGCTTTGCTTGTGCTTGAGCTAAACTTTTATGGGAATTTGCAGTGATAACCTCAGTTTTCTATATATTTGTACTAGCATCCCTTATGTGCTGACTTATAATTCCTTCCCCTTTTTCCCAATTACCCTTTTTTTTTTAACTGTCCAATTCCCTTCTTCACCATAGTCTTTTTCCATCTTATCATTTAAGAAGTTGGAAAAATAATTATATGAAAACACGATTATAAAAACTAATTCTTCAAAAAATTTAAAAAGGTAGTGTGATTAGTTATGATTTATGAAGTAGTTTATGGATAATTATTCATATTAATTTATTTAAATAAATGGGTTTCATTAATTTTTTTGAATGAGATCCATTGATTTGCTTTAGTAAATTTTTTTGGTAAACACATCTTTGCCCTTCTAGAAAAGAATGAGACTCTTGCCTGACAAGTGTGGCTCTTCTCCAAGTGTTTAATGATTGGGATTATCATTTCTAATTCTGTTTAAAGAGTGAGGATTTATTCATGCCCATAAATTTTATTTTATTCAAAAAATATTTGAATATTTAAAAGAAATTGAATTTGTTTACGGGAATAATATTCGCTATTTAAAAAGAGTTAGAGCATCCTCCAATTATTTCCAAATTGAAGAGGTGCCTAACCCCTTGTAGTCACCAATTCAGCTCCATTCCAATTTAATAGGAATTGTGAAATTGGAGAGGAGTCTAACCCTACAATCACAATGTGCACACCAAAACATGGAATAAAACGGAATTGGAATGATATTTCTATTCCACCCTTAATTTTGCTCTTTAAATTGGGTCTTTAAAGTCTTTTTTAACTTACTTCCACTCATGAAAAAAAATAATAATAAAGAGAAAGGAGGAAGAAGAAAGAGTAAAGTTAAACTATCTCCCACCCAAATATTGATGGATAAGTATAGAATAAACACTAACAAGTAACAGTGATATTCATGAGGATGGTTAGCATATGCTTCGTCCTTGGCCAACTTTTATTGAAGATGTGAAATTGCAGCCTATTAGGAATGTGTTTATAACCACTTTTAATATTCATTATTTTTAGAAAGAAGAAGTATCAAACGATTAAGGAAATTGCTATTTGAAATTCTTTCTTAATGCCTGTTTGAGGTATAATATGTTATCAACCCATAAGCTTTCAATCTTAAATGATTGAAATCCAGATAGAACATGCTCTTGGATTTTGAAACTTGAATTTTGTCAATCACTTTTGACTGAAATTGTCTAAAATTTTTGGGGCACTAATGAATTGCTAGAAATGTTATTGGTTCATCCATTCATTTAATTGAACTGGATTTATTATTCTTCTTTTCTTAAACTTTGCTTTTGAAGCCTGGCTACTGATATAGTCTTGCGGGTCTGGAAGAGCTAAGTGATTCATTGACAAGAATATTCCTATTGTGCTGAGTCTGATTCCTAAACTTAAACCCGCAACATATCATGAGTATTTGTCATGGCTTTGGCATTGATTAAGTGAAAAACTTATATTTTTCTTGTTTTGCAGCCCTTGTTTTCTTCTCCTCTGTTTAAAGTTCTATCCATTCTTTGAACAACTGCAGCTTGCACGTAGTACGGTGTGTCAACACATCCATTCTTGATGTTTCTATCTATGGGAATTTCGACAGTCCTAACAACGATGGTATAGATATAGAGGACTCCAACAATACAGTCATTACAAGATGCAAAATCAATACAGGAGATGATGCCATTTGCCCAAAGACATCTACAGGTCCCCTCTACAATCTAACAGCGACAGACTGTTGGATTCGAACAAAATCTTCAGCAATTAAACTCGGCAGTGCTAGTTGGTTTGATTTCAAGGGTCTGGTGTTTGACAATATCACCATTGTGGAGTCTCATAGAGGGCTTGGACTGCAGATACGTGATGGAGGTAACAGCATTTTGGTTTTCATGAATTCCTCCTTATTAAATTAAGGACTGCCTAAGATGCTTGATGCAGGAATGACAAAAAAAATACTTGTATTTTGATATTTGGATCACTTGAATAATCACTAGCTGCCAGCTGCTTATTCATGCCTGCCCATCTTAAAGATGTTTGCTGTTGCTAGTATGGCATAGTAAATAGGCTGTACAATGAACTGATCCACTTGAGATTGGCTCAGTTTTGACTTGTTCGAGTTTATTCAGATTAAGGTATGAGTCAAATGATGAAAATTTGAGGCTCAATTCACATCCAAGCCAAGTCCAAGCAAATGCAGCCGAGCTGGAACCAGTTTTATCTAGACCAAGCCAAGGTTGAGCAGTTATTTATTTGGCTCGGCTTGGCTCATTTTCGGCCTTAGTTCAAATAAAATAACAGGTGAAACAACTGCTGAAGGGATCCATTGCATTTCGGGTGCACTTGAACTTCCATTGAACAGAATATCCTTGAACATCAAATTTTACTTGTTTGTTGACAGTTATATCCTCCTCTATCATACTGTAGTATAGTGAGAATTATTCAGTCTGGAGACTTTATAGCTTACTTTAGCTTCTTCATTGGTGATTTGATTTCATGAATATTCACGCAGATCCAAAGTATTAGAAATTGAACTGAACAGAACTCAGTTCAACTCTGCAAAGCCTTGTCCCGATCACGTGGGCTTGGCAGCCTGAATTTTGTTTTGTTATTATGCTTTGTTAAGGACTATATGCAGTTAGTTTTGAAATTCACATGAATGTTAAACATTGTTTATAAAACTGTGAATGAGATTACCAATAGATTACCTATATGACTGATGCTTGTGCTATGTATTATGATTGTTTTGCTTTACAATTTGCTTGTGCTGAGATTCTTTGGTGCGAATGTCTTTTCAATTGTATGTCTGTGTGATGTTATATCCTTTGGGTCTGTAATCTTGATAATCTTTCATGGCTTTGGTTCATTATTTTGAACTTAGGCGAACGAGCAACACAAAAACATGTGATGAAAGTGGGCCTAGTCTATCATCAATCTGACACTTGAACTATTGAACTAATTCTAAGCTGAATGCATTCTACCTATATCATGCATCACTAGATTGACATCAACCCTATTTTTCTGAAATTCAAACTGATAATTCTGATGTTACAAATTCTTCAATATTTCGCAGGAAATGTGAGTGACATAACTTTCTCAAACATAAATATAAGCACAAGATACTATGATCCGTCCTGGTGGGGGAGAGCAGAACCTATCTATGTGACTACTTGTCCAAGGGATAGTAACACCAAAGCTGGTTCTATCTCCAATATACAATTTGTTAACATCACAGCAACTTCTGAAAATGGTGTCTTCTTGTCGGGATCCAAAGGTGGAGTCTTGAGCCATTTGAAATTCGTTAATGTGAATCTTACCTACAGAAGATGGACAAATTATGCAGACGGGTTGCTCGATTACAGACCAGGATGCCAAGGACTTGTTAATCACAGCACAGCTGGGATTATGATGGAACACATTGAAGGTTTGGAGGTTGAAAACATAAACATGAGATGGTCTGAAGATAGGACTGGAAGATGGAATAATCCTTTGTATTTCAGGCCTTCCACTGTAAACAACATTTCTTTTCTTAATTTCCACTCAGGTTTGTACAAACTATAAGGGATGAGCTTGGAATCGAGATGAAACAATTTTTCTTTGGCGGAAATAAAATTTGAGTCAGATTCAAGATTTATTATCGAGTTTTTTCTTTTTCTTTTTCTTCTCTTTCTTATTCTTTTTTGGTGTTCGTTATAGATCAATGAGTTCTTGTAAAAAAGTAACTTATTTCTTTTCAAATGCATTAGTAAAGGATGCTTCCATGTTAAATTTTTTTAGTGAGAATGTTTTAGTTAGTGATGTGGCCTATTAGAGGTTTATCGTCATATTTTATCATTCCATCAACCAACTGTGTAATATTTTAAATTTAAAGAAGTGGAAGTGTTACACGCCTAAAAATTTCAGAGGGTCTAAATATAATTTATTAATAGATATATGACAAGAATCTAGTTGTATAGTAAATGTCTATCTATAACCAGTGTTCTAATATATATATTTCCATCTTATTATCTCATATATGTAAATTGTGTATGAAACAGGACTAAAATAGATATTTAATTATATAAATTAAGACTAATTTTGAAAAGTAAGGTGAAATTAAAAATTAGTTCTTAAAAGTGTGAAAAAGAGGGTTTTGAGAAGCTCCCCAATGAGACTTTCCTGCATCAAACATTCTCATTTGTAACTGAAGCACTAGCATCTTCGGAATGGAATTATTATTTATTTTAGGAAGAATTACACTCATACTCTTCAAGATTTATCGCTTAATCAATTATATCATTTGACATTTAAAATATTACACAGACCCTCAGAAGTTTGTGCAGACCCTTGTCGTCAATATCTATTAGAATATTCGTTAGTAAATTATATTTAGACCCTTATTTAATTTTTAATTTTTATTCCAATAGATAATATAATTGTATATTAATTACGATTTTTGAAGAAAATTTGATTTTTGATTTTGATTTTTGATTTTATTTCAATAAATGATACAATAGAATTTTAATTTTAATTTTAAAATTTAAAATATTTTATATTTTATATTTGTTTAAAATATTTTTTGTCTAAATATAATATTTTAAATTTAAGGAGATTAAATATTATACGCCTATAAACTTCAGAGAGTCTGAATATAATTTATTAACAGATATCGAGTGCGACAACATCTCTGCTTTGGCTCTTGCATCCAACCTTCTGTTTTATGCTCATACTAAACATGTTCCAACCTTCTGTTTTATGCTCGCACTAAATATGTGGAGATGGATTATCACTTCATCAGAGAATGGGTTATACGCAAATATATTGATGTCCAGTACATGTCTTGCGAATATCAAATTGCAAATGCTTTTACCAAGGGATTGACCACTGCTTGCTTTATCAAGCTCAGGGACTAACTGATGCTCGGTTCCCCTCCATCTCAGCATATTAACCCAACTGATCTCAACTAATCTAGCGTAGTTAACAACACTAACATAATTAGTTGTACAGCTGTGTTACTCTTAACAAGTTAGGTTAAATTTGTTATATTTTGGTTATAGGACATGTGGATCATCAGTTGTGCCCCTACTTTTGTATATATATATATATATATATATATATACTGTAAAATATCTGTATAATAAGAGTAGACTATTCTGATTCTTTTATCGGCGGGGTTTAAGTGTAATATTTTATCGCGGGACACGTTCAAATTAAGAGATTTATATGTAATATTTCAAATGTTAAGGTCAAAGTAATTAAGTGACAAATTTTAAGGGGTCTGAGTGTAATTCTCTTTTTATGTTATATATAAGAGTTAATCACAAATTATATCCCGAAAGAACAACCGTCACTTTATTGCGTAAAACTAAATACATAAATTATATTTAGACCCCTTTATATATGTCACTTAATTATTTAAACCCTTTATATTTAAAATATTACACCTACATCGTTTGAGAATTCAAATATAACTAAAACTATTTTCCAATTGGACATGAAAATAATTCTGTTTAAGTGATGTATTACATTGAATATAAAAAAATATTATATAAACACCTGCATTATATTGAGCATTCAAATAAAAAACTTAATTTTAAACTTTATAGTGTGACTAGGCCACAAAATAAAAATAATATGAAATTATAATTTTTTATTATGATAAAATCATATTTTTTAACGATTATATTAACAGATATCAATAATAAAGGGTTATATAATATATATGCACAAATGTTAGAAAATGTAAAAATAATATTTTAAATATGAAGAGGTCTAAATAATTAAGTAATAAACATATAGAATGTAAATATAATTTATCTATTTGGTTTTGAACGACAAATAAAGACGATTAGTTTGAGAAGTGCATTGACAAAAATTTTTATCTTTGAAATTGTAAATTAAAATTCTTGAAATTGTAATTTAAAATTCTTGATATTTAAATTAAAATTCCAGCAATCTTTCCGATATAATTTGCAATTAACCCTACATATAAACACTCTAGTTCCGCACAGCATCCCTCTATCCGTTGAAAAATGCCGTCCCCGAAACCCCTGGCGACCGCCGCTGGCATGCTCCAAAACCGCCTGAGCACCACCCTCCGTACACGAGGCGGTGGCGGCGATGGCCCGAGCCGGTGGGCCACAGCCGGCCACCAAGAACGCCCCAACGGTTATTTTTTGAACCGGACACCTCCACCGCCGGGTCAGTCGAGGAAGTGGGAGGACTGGGAACTTCCATGCTACATTACCAGCTTCCTCACTATCGTCATCCTCGGCGTTGGGCTCAACGCCAAGCCCGATCTCACCATCGAGACGTGGGCACACCAGAAAGCCCTCGAACGCCTCGAATCGGCCCAACAGATGGCGACCCTTTCTGATGATTCCGAGTGATTTACCAATTTTGGTAAGATTAATTTGGATATCGAATTAGAATGATCTGTTGATATTATGGTGTTTTTTAGGTGTACTTGGGAGAATAAGGGTTCTTAATTGTTGAATTGGGCACTTCACTTCTTTGTTTACAAGGACGATTAATTATTGGAAAGTTGACTGTTCCTTTTCCGTTGTTGCAATTACAATGTATCAAACTTCGAGAGAAATTTCTGATTTTCTTAACTGAGTTATGTGTTTCCGTGTTGATCACCAGTTTCTACCTTCTAGATTGATTAGAAAATTATTCAATTGGATGCGTTTGGATGCTAATAGGTTCACCACTGAGGTATGATAGTTTTCAGAAGTTAGGTCCCACATTATATCGATATATGCTGTATTTGACTTTATTGTTGCATAGTCGGAATTATGTGCTGTCAAATGTGTTCGATCCCCTGCTGAAGCTTATAACTTGGAGTGCTGTGTTTGTCTTGTTTCCTTTCTTTCTTTCTTTCTTTCTTTTTTTTCTTTCAATTGAACAATAGCTCCTTATCCTTAATACTTAATATTAATAACCATGTTGTTAGCAGATGTTTTGCATTATGAAACCTCCATGGATTCAGTTTGTACCCAAATCCTCAAGTTTTACACCCACTGTGAACTTTGGGAAACAAAAACTCCATGCTTCTATGTTTGTTCAATCATTTTATTTGCAGGTAGAGCAAACCACTGATGACTTAATGTTAACTTTGATTGAAACCGACTCTTTGAAACCTAGCCTTCTCTACCCTAATGGTTCTTACTTCTGTTGTAGCTCGATCATACTTATTTTCAATGTTGTATGTTAGTCTATGCTACACATCACTCCTTTAAATCAAAGGTATCATTCTAGATCACTCGTAGAAAATCATGAAGATGATATGGAAGATTTTTTCTCCTGTACTTTTCACAACTTGTATGGCCAAGGAAAATATATTCTGGTTATCCTTTTCCTAAAAAGAAAAAAATTTACTCTCCCTTGAGACACACACGATCCTACATACGCCAGCAAATTGTAGCATGTGAGTTTATCAATATAATAAGGAGACACTCTAAAATTGATAAATTGTACTAGACGGATCCCTCCTCTATGACGGACATTTGTAAAACTAACGGTTAAAGTTGACATCATAAAAGAATCTCTATAATATTAAGAATACTCCTTTGAACTCAACTTGAGAATTCAGGTAGTTTTGTCCCCACAATTATATGGAAAAGACGAATTCCCCCCCCCCCCCCCCCAAAAAAAAAAAAATTATATTTCTTTCTCATCTAGCCCGCACACTCTTTTCTCTCTTATTGAAAAATGTCAACATTAATTACAATTTTGATGATCAATTTCATGATAATATAGCAAAGTTCGAAATTTGATAATTAATTACACAACCCCCTCCATGTCATCTGAACCTTCAACCTTCACTTCGTCACTGACACCACCACCCAAAACTCGCACATCCTTCCCATTGTCTCAATCTCCACACACAACATTACTGTTACCAAACACATACACACTCAACCACTACCACCACTCGCATAAACACCCAAACTTACACCCAAATTCAAACACACACCTTCCACAACACACATATTTTTGAATTGTGGCAACAACTTAAATTCTAAATATGCATAACCTTCACAAATTGCATACATATGACAAATCAAGATTGAGGTTGAACTTTAGAAGAACTAGAGATAATGATACTTGGCATTACTCTATCTAAATTATCTCAGATTCTCAATTAATTATATCTTTTGTTGTCAATATCTTCCTTGTCGGTGTCCTTATTTAAAGTTTTTACCTCTGGGAGCAGTTGGGTACCTGACCGGATGTAGGACAATGCCATTGAATGATGATACAGGTGCCCAAACAAATACTAATTGATGAATTTAAAGAAAGGTATGCTATATAGTAAGTAGTACATCAAAAAATTCATGTGGTTATTATGGGAACTACCATGTATTAGATTTTTCCATACAGCCTACCATATACTAGAATTTTGACTAGGCCTTGATGCAGTTACCAATTGAGGAAGAAGCTTCCTATATACCTTCATTGGATATTAAGGGAAAAGTGAAATTTGTGCATCTATTCAATAATATTTCTCACGTGTGACTACTCATCCGTGGCATCCATAGTATATGTCGGAAGCAGTTTTGTTTGGTCACCTAGAGGCAGTGAACATGGTTCGAAACTCACTTTAGAAAGCTGAAGGTTCTCATTTAAAGTTTTCCTTGTAGCATCTTCCACAGCTTTATTGTGATAAATACTAGATCTGTGTGAGACAACTAATTACATGTGTCTTTAATTCATATTAAGTGTATATGAGACTCGAGTACATCATTATTAGCCCAGTGTGTTAATAAATAAGAAAGGTTTTGTTGGTATGACTTGGACCTTCCAACTTAATTGGACGTAGTTAACACAATTTTAAACATCTGTTATTGGTTGGAATATTTAAATTCAACTTGGAAACTTTAAGGATATAATTTATAAAATTGATAATTGAGAAATAAAAGTGACATTTGGTGCAGACTTTAGGGACAAAAAATACATTTAGTCCGTAGTTTAACTTTTCTGGAATTTGACTAAATAAGTTAACAAGTTCAATCTTTAGATCATATTGAAAATGTACTGCTCGTTGAACAGTTGATTAATAGTACTGGAAGAGATGTTGAAAGTTTTATGTGATTTGCAATGCAAGCAGCATTATCATTTAAGTCATCTTGAGTTCAAGCCCTGTGAATTCCAGAAAAGTTAAACTTAGGACTAAATCAAGTAGCATTATCATGCAAGTCATCTTGAGTTCAAGCCCTGTGAATTCCACCACCAAGACCTATAAATGACTAGAGAATCTGCTGGAATGAAATTTCTGAGCTTACAGCAACTAAAAGGGTGCATAATAGTCAAAGTGAAAACCATAAAATCAGTTTATATTGAGGTTCAAACTAGTTTTGTCTTTTGGAGTAGGGCTTAAAGCAACTTGAGGTTGAATGTCGAAATCCGGTGCCTTGTGCCCTTGCCTTCTGTTCTCCAATGGAGTCGGTATCGGGGAACTGTAAACTATAGCTCAGCCTTGCAACTGTCCCATTCTGCATGATGCAGGACTCATCAGCATTTGCAGGTTTGCATTGAAAAACATTAGTTGCAAGATGAAAGTTTGAGGTTGAGGGTTCATTCAAGGCCGTTGAGGCCTTCAAGGGGAGCATTTCCTTGAAGGGACTGTTATCATGTATAGCTCTCAAGTCTGAGACCATTTGAGAGCCAATCTCATCTTCTTCTATTAAAAGACTCTCTTTCTTGTCTCCTCCACTGAGTTCATCCGAGCTGCTTCCTCCCTTATTATTTGAAGGCCCAAGTGCGGTTGCCTCCTTAAGTAGCTTTGCTATTTTTAAATCAACCTGCACATTATTGCCTGCCAGAATTCCCTTGACATCATACAGTTTTAAGTCGAAGTTTGTCATGGCGTCAAAACCTTTCAGCTTTATTGATGCAATGTCAAATGCCATTGCTGCTTCCTCTTGGGTATCTGTTAATGTTTAGATAGATTATTGAATGAACCCATTTTAGTTAGAATAATATATAAAGACAAGTATGCATGTCAATTACCAAAAGTTCCTAAGATCAATCGTCCTTTCTTTTTGCCCTTGACCGCTAACCATCGTCCATATTTGCTTTGCCTATTTCAGAGATTAAAATATTAGTGGATGTATGTGTGTGTAAGAAAGAAAGAGAATTTGAGTACTTTGTAACTCCACGGTAAAAGGAGCTGCCCCTTGCAAATCTGCTACTGGACCTGAAAGTTGAGACATAAACAAAAAGTCGTGGGAAATCACATTGTAAGGTTGCTGATCATCAACCATGAAATTTATGAAGTGTGTGGGTGTGGGTGTGGGTGTGTTTGTGTTGTGGGCGGGGGAGGAGGGGATTGGATAGCATTCTTTACCTTCTAATGTAAGCTAGTACTTCTTGTTCTGTCATGTGTGCTATGGCTTTCACTTCTTTCCCATACATACTTATCTGCAACAAGAATACAAATTATAATGCACAAAACAAATCGTCTCATCCCAGTTGGGTTGAGACTCAAAAAACCGATATTAATTATTTTATTCCATCTTCACTCCGACACCATATTCAATGCCCCAAACCCAAAAAGGGAAACTGAAAAATCGTTTTTGTATGTTATGTTGGAAAGAGTAGATAGATGGTTCGTATACACTAGGTCCAACAGTTCAATGGTCTGTGCGATATGAAAATAATGGGTAGTTCCAATGTATATTGGGTAATATATACTGAACAAGGACTAGGATTCTCAATTGCCAGTACATAAGCTACAACCCTATTAGGATTCTGTATGGTGAAGAACAACCGCTTCCGTGGACGTAGGCACTAGGCTGTAATTTTGCCACACCAAGTATATTAGTGTATTCTTTGTTGATTGTTTTTTCTTTCTCACTAATGATTCACTACACTGCGTGTTTACAAACATGTTATGCTTCCCTAAAGAAACAAAATATGGTCTCTCTCTCTCTCTCTCTCTCTCTTTTCAAGGAACTTGGTGATAGTCATACTGGGAAATTTGTTTTTGCTTCATCTCCCCAGTACTTCAGGGAGAGTAAATCATGAGCTCTTGCTGCTTCAACTTCGTTGCTAAATCTACCTGCTTGAACAAAGAACATGAAAGTGTATAAGTAACTGCTCAAAATTACAGCATACTTCAAAAATAATACAAATGGGAAATGATTACACTCTATACTTATTGCAAAGTGGACGTAGCTTTCACTCACCCAAATATACTGCAAGAAATAACAGCATGAAATCACAATAAGAAAACTACTGGTCCTTTCAACAATCATTTTTTTAAAATCATAACATATTAGAAGCTGAAGGAACACATCTTGGAATTGTAAACTCTACCTGAGCGGCCTTTTGGTTTCATAAGTCCATTATGATATACAAATGCTGTATAAACATTCTTGTTTTTTGTCCTACAATATGAACAGATACTGTTTAGCCTTTTCCTGAAAGTTGCACACATACACAAACGCAAACATACGAAAAAGTTAACACTTTATCAAGCAGGGTTAAAGAAATAATACTTAATTACTCCTCGATATTGTGAACTTCGTTCTCTATTTGATGCAATGGAAGTCATTTGGACTGGATTGTCAGTATAAGTGGATTCTGCAGCCTTATTTGCCAATGCCATGAGCCCTGAATTTTCAGACATTTTATATGCTTCCTTGTATTATTGGTTGAATGAGAGTAGAATTGCCTGTGTAAGTGCACAAAAAAATGAGATCATTTTACCTTAATAATTGACATAGCGCCCTAGGAATTTATTCTCATAAGTTTTCCTTATGTCACTTTACAGTATTTGGGAATCTAAGGACTGCTGTAATACACTCTGAGTTTAACAATATTGATGGTAAGAAATTTAAACTAGTGTAGCAAAGTTGACCGAGAATAGTGGAACTCCTTTTTAGACAGATGAGAAGAATGTGGACTTATTGGGGAAAACAAACTTGGATCAAAATGCTAAATTGAAAGACAAATTGTTGACATTAGATTTTAATCTAGGTAACAGTTTTCGATAGAGTAAAAGTAATGGAATAGTCAATATTAATTTATATATGAGCAGCGGATGGTGACTGTAAATTGCCAAAAGCTGAGTCTCAATAAATTCAAACAAAGATGGAAATAGTGAACTAAAAATAGAAACTAGTTGAAATTTTATAGACCCAAAATTAAAGGAACATATGTTTTGATGATGGAAGAAAAAGAGGATAAACCTCTTATGACTACATATATGCATGCATTTATCTCTGTTTAGTTATAAGATTCGGCTCCTTAAATGTTTTTAACGGTCACAAGGAACTGGTTGATAACGACATCTGAAAAATTAATAGTCATAGATGAGGCAATGCAAGAATTACATGCACGTAAATGAAGCAAAATCAATATTTTATTACACCTGAGAAATGCAAAATACTTTGTTGAAAAAGAGAGATATGATGCTGGAAGTGTATGTATTTATGCCTCATGTAAACTTCTTACAGTGTGAAAATTGTCATGTAACCAAGTAAATACTTAGAAGAAAACTTCTTATCAACTTACTGAATGCAAAGATCTACAAAAACTAAAAGCTTTTTGTAAGGATCCCACATGTTTAGAAATTTTATTTGAATGATTCGAAAGAATGTGTATGTGTGCATTTGTTTTATGTTTTCTAAGTGTTTCTACTCGGTTAGAATATATCGAAAAACAATAGAAACTAGACGATATTTGACCATCTTTGTTTCTACATAATCATTCATCCATTTTTTCTTTATATGCTTAGTCAATCCTTTGTATATAGATCAACCTAACCATCTGTTACCTATTACTAGAAGATTATTCCTGCCTGCTCCTTTTGCTAATTGCACTTTCGTTAACTGCTCTGAATTGATCTGAAGGCAGTTTGCTTCCAAATCCTTGGAAAACCTGAAATTGTTATTGAACCAAAATTAAAAGTTGAGTCTTTTGAAGAAATTAAAACACCTCAAAATCACAATGGCGAGGAAAATAGTGGGAAAGATGAAAGAAATGAAAAAAAATAAAAACCAAAACGGAGGAAGATTAAGTATACAATGCAGCTTCTAATGAGACACTTCTGCCTGGAACTCTCTTTTTTGCATGTGTGTGCGTGTCTGGTTTTTTACCTTAAATCTCAGATACTCATACTGGTAAATACGATGATAAATCTTAATGTCTCTTCTGCTTTTATACAACTAATATCTCAATTCTTTGGTAAGAGAGTCCAAAAACATTTGCCAATTCGTGCAGTAATTATTGCTAGGGGATTTTGTTTACCACTTCAGTCCTCTAAGCATTTATGTTTGCACTCAGACAGTTTGGCCAAGAATATGGATTAGGAAAAGCATTTAATTAGTTTCCCTAGTCCCTACCATGAAAAAGTTTGTATTCAACAAATTTTGCTATCTATCACCACTTGAAAAGTCAAAAATTAGTACTAGTAATTACTAATCTTCTTGTTTTTTTGAGTAAATTGTATTGCACTTTGTTGGGGCAACCTTCTCCTCACAGCTAAGCTTGACGCCATTTCTCGATTTGTGTGTTTATAACGGTCATGCTAATCTTCTTTTGTATTGTTCCAATTTATCGGAGCCATTGCATCCTCTCTTGACTGAATGGATCAGTTCTCACTTCTCTTGGTAAGGCCTAAACTTATGATCACATTGACGTGCTTTTGCATTAGAATATAATCCACCAGGTGATTGCCATAATATTTATAGCTTACACCATGGTTGACAAGGATGAGCACACTGTAAAGTCTTCATCCTTGTCGCCCATGGTGTAAGCTATACATATTATGGCAATCATCCTGGTGGATTATAGCATTTCAAAACTTACTTAAGATTTCACTCTTATATTTTTATTTTTATACAAAGAACATTCCTTTGTTGCTCACATAATAGTCATTGCTGTCGAAATACTGATTCAGAAGCTAATTAATGCAGGTTTGTAGCAATTAATGTCTCGCCCGTTTTAAGTCCATGGATTGTTTGAACTCATGTCTCATTTGTTGGTTGAATCCTCCAAGTCAATCGATAATGCTTTGGATTATTGACTAAATTTGTTGACCAATTCTACTGTTGTTGTTGGATTAGTAGACCAAATCTCTATATGGACTGTAAATTTGGTAGCATTACTCCTAAGCCGGATGTGGAAAGGTGTATTCCGTTTGGATAGCTTTGAAACACTTTGTGACCCAATTTGAACTGTTACGACTGTAGGACTACAAAGGCTAGGTGCAGTTACAATGAAAAAAGCATATAGTAGTGCATTGCCTCCAGGCTGGCAAGATTTCAAACATTATCAAAGACTTTGATGTAACATTGTGGAGCATATACGTTATTGTTCTCCGCTGGCTTGTTTGTAATTAGGACCGCCAACAGGTCGTGGTTCTAAATATGTAGGTCATGTTGTGTCAAATTTTGTTCAACCACCTGATCATTTATAACGTACAGACTCAAGTTTGTATATCCTGACAAGTATCGTGTCTGGCCCAGAAACTTGTCCGCCCATTTGGGTGATGAGTCCACTCGTTTGTCACCCAAACCAAATTAGCTTTTTGAGTCGATTTCTAATAATATAACAGTTATACAGAGTCCAAAAAGACAAACAAGCTAACGTATCCCTTCATTTAAAGAAAAAAAAAACTAGGGTGAAACAAGTTGAGAGGTTAATTCAAATTCAACTAAAATTACAGAAGGCTCCATCATAGAACTAGCAAGCTCCATCATCAAAATTCAAGTTAATATTTTCAACTGACCAAGGCATCATACGTTTAAGCCTCCCTGGTTTCTGCAATGAGAAAAGCCTCGTACATTGAACTACTCTTTCTTCTATATTTCGATTCAACAAGGAAATACATGTGTTAAATCTTGACATGGTTTCAATACTGTGCAAGACATGTATAGCTTCTTGTAAAAAGTACACATGCACTGAAAGCATAAAGAGTTCTTGGGGCTAAAGGTACGATATGAACACACCATCACCATCATGATACGAAACACTGGAATAATAAGCGCAAATTAGGCAGGACGACAAATTACAAATTTCCGCAGGAATGTCCATCAAGCCAGCACAAATAAAGACTTAACACACTGGAGCAAGCAAAGTACTATTGGCCAATTGAGGAGGATTGTCGAGTTCATTTGACTTGTAAAGTCGCCCTCCATTCTCGTGCCTTAAACCATTTATGTCAACTGAATGACACCTGATAAGACAAGTGACCAACTTATACGAAGACACGACGAGAAAGCATCATACTTCAGTACCTAATAAACCCCCACTGAATGGCTCCTAGAGCTTATCAAGCTTTTCTGATCTAATGACAGGATTGGCTTTGGCTATCGCATCCCGACCTGCAGTCTGATAATCAAATGGGCAATCGTGTTTATCAGAGTATCGATGAACAGCACAGAAGAGATTCCCACACCTGCAATTGAAACCTGTCAGACCCACACGCTTCTGGCAAGAGTTGCATCTATTCGGACCCTCTTTTGCCTTGACCTCTGAACTCTGGCTTGTGAATGAATCACAGGATGCTTGTGTAGGAGCAACCTTCAACTCCACAGGTCCATCTTGCATGTCCACAGTACCAGCAACCACAGGCTCCTTCCCGCTGCTGCAAGACCCTCCATTCACAATGTTCTCAATGGACGACGCTGCAAGCTTCGCCTGTTCCTGCTTCAAGATCATGTCTTTGTGGCACTTAGAACACATGTTCATAGTGGCTGCACTACCAAAGAAGCCACAATTGTTGATGCAAAGAATAGGGCCTTCCGGAGCTCGGCAGCCTGTCTCTTTGGAAGACTCCATTGATCCAAATATATCCTGCACAAAATTATCTCAAGAACTAGAAAAAAAAACCACCACCAACAGCCACCAGACCATATCATATGCATATGAAAATGCGTTCAAGAACAAAAACCAAGGAAATGCAAAATTCAAGTACTCATTATAACCAGTTTAAAAAAAAAGTGCACATTATAAATCATTTCAAGACAGCAAAAGGGATATCTTTAAGCAAAAACATACATAATTATTCACTTGGTAATCATAGCATTGATTACCATATGATCCCTCTTCTTGAGTTGATCCTTTAATGCCAACATCATCATGGTTAATACATTTTTCACCTGTATTTGAGTAGTCAATGCCATGCTTTTTTTCCTATAGATGAAAATAATGAACCTCATCAAAAATCTAAATGATGAGGATAGTTCAATTTGATGGCAACTTTCCTTGAATGACAGTAAACCCTTGAGAATATGCCAGTTGACCAACTAGTAAAAAAAATGCTGGCAGTTTTACAAAGACTTAAATCTATCATTGCCTTCATGTGAGACCATGGGGTTTATAAGACGAAAGTCTTGAGATTGCATAACCCCCAATGTATTTCAACTTCAAATTACAAAAAATTAGGCATACTACGCAACTTAGTAAAATAATGTAGTGTACATTTACCAAAGAATGTGTAGCATAGTAAGTGATAACATTTTTTATTATACAAACGTACTGGGCAAGAATAACGTCATGAAATATTGTATTGCAATTGGACATCATGAACTAATCAGTGGGAAGACGCACAGGATTCTAGTAAGAAAGCTGCTACATTGTACCCACTACTGAGCCACTACACGCAACAGCTAACAAAATCACCAACCTATTTGATGGCAAACGGTTTCCACTGCAACTGATAAGATTATGTACTCAGTTTATATTAAGCAACCATCTAGTTCTCTTTTTCTCCGTTTTTCTAAACATTTAAATTGCTTAGTACAACTAAGTTTATATTATAATGGAACATCTACTCCCACAAGACTTTGTTACCAATTGAAGTGTCTAAACCACAACATTATTTTTTGCCAAGACTATGCTTTAACTCACACCAAAGAGACCGGTTACAAGCAATGGAGAACAATACTAACCACACGCAGGTTATATGGACTCCTCAAAATGCATCACAAACACATCAGGCATTTGACACAAGGTAAACATATGTGATAGGTTGTACATCAAACACTTCAAATGCGAGAGTACTCAAAAAGAAATAATTGGCCAACAAGATACACAAATGTTATGGGTATCCTATATTTTCTATCGAATATACACCTAGGAAGTAAACATCCAACTATTCATGTTTGATACAATTTTGTACCAAAAAATTTAATTATGAGAGTACACCACAAAGAAATAATTTCCCAGTCAAAAATTCGATAGATAAAAACCAATTAACTTGAAGAATCTTTTTGATCGTTTAAATTTTGATGAACTTCTTTGCACTTTCAGCAAACTGGGGAAAAACATGACTGAACCACCAACAACAAATGGCCTCATGATAGTCAATATGGATCTAGTGTCCGCATTGCTGATCAATGCATGATATTCTCTAACTCATCAGTATTCTAGTTGGTGAAGATGGTTTTTTGTTGCACACTTATGAAGTAAGGATACTTCGTTAAGGTCTACGATCCGTATCGGATACGATACTCATCGAATAATCGAATATCGTATTGAATACACACCAAACGCATCCAATAATAAATAAAATATATAAATACTTCGCGGATACTTCTATATATAGAGAAGCATGTATAATTTTTAATTTTAATCTTTACCCCTTCCTTTTGATTTCATATACAATGCAATACATCAACAAGAATTCATATGAATTAAAAAATACATGGGTGTTTTTCAAGTATTATCCATTATTACATGTCCAAAAAGTATAAATGAGTAGATTACTCTACAATCTTAACAACAAATACGTCTAAAAAAAGTAATCTAATTAAATGTTGATTCTTATTCTTTAATTAATCATGTTCACTTTGTAAATGTACGATAGTGAGACAATAGGCCATTACATAATAGTCATTACATAATAGTACACAATATTATTATTAAAGAATCACTAAAAATTATAACTATAAAGTCATTACATAATAGTACAAATATAAAATATATATTTATGGACATATCTCTTCCGTATCCGTATCCTATTTTAGGATTTTGCTATATTGCCGTATCCGTATCTGTGTTTCCTAGTTGCACACCAACCTTGAGCTCTTCAAGTAACCAAGGTAATCATTTAATGTAGGAGATAAAGGATGCTTCTAAGAAATTCCAATGGAAAGGATTCCATCGAATGAAAAGTCTTCTTACACCTAATTAGCGAGTTCATATAATCTCCAAATCCAAGACTCCTACACATTTTCATGCAACATAGAAGCTTACTGAACAATGCATGTGATACTCAAATCGTTATCAAACATATTACATTATCAATTAATAATTGGGTTTAGAAGTCAATATAAATGTCATATGATGTTATTATCAATAAGATTACATTATAAAATCACCAAACAAGGAAGGAGAAAAAACAAACACACACACACTCAAAAAACAAAAAGGAAATTAATGGACTTCCTGATCCCTCTCAGTTGGGTAAAATAGGAGTATAGTAACATTAAAAAAGAAAATGTCAGTCTCTCCCTTTCAAAAAACTTAATCTCAAACTTCCTAAAGCAAATACTAAGTAATCAAAACAGCCAAAATTAAAATACAAAAAAAAAAAACATTAAGAAGAAAATAATCCTTGAGATAGACTAACCCATAATGACCACCATCTGTCTCATCCAATTTTGGAATGTAAGATGTAGTGACAAAGAGAGAATTTCAGCAAGAAAAACTCTACACCTAAAAGAACAGTAACAAACAAAAGAGAGAAAGTAATCAATTGATATAACGAAAAAAAAAAAAAAAGAGATCCGAGGCTTTAAACAAGCTGCAGGTATGCAAGCTTAGTTCACAACAAACAAAATTTATAAGAAGGGCAGAGAAAAACTAATTACGAATGCAAGAAAATCTTCAACTCATTTATTTTCATTATGTAGAGTTCTTGGTCCATGAAAACATTAAGCTTTAAAACAGAATTAGCAGTTAGTCCATTGACCAATCCCTCAAAAAGTAGATGCTCCAGAGACCACCTATGTCAAGAAAAACGAATTAAGTAATGCCAAATGTGCAATCCAGTAAGCAATCCCGTATCAAGGAATGGTAACAAATTTTTGACCCAACCACAAACTTCGGCCACAGCCGCGTAGTGCAAGGAGGAGCCCGTAGCTGTGAGTTTGCATTATAATGATTGTGCTTCATAACAGTAGCTTCCATGAGAACTCAAACAAAAATAATGGCAAGAATAACATTCAGATATCATTTAATGTGTATCTTAGCAAGGTGCCCCTATTAGAAGTATATTCACCGATATTGACCAAATCATAATTTTTTACCACACCCACAAACTGGAATTAAATTCGCAGCTCTAGATTGCATATAGGATGAGAATGCTCAACAAAACAGTAAATTTTCCACAATTAACATAAAAAGGTTGCATATTTTTTCAAAAAAGCTGATGTAGTGTTTCCAAACAACAGAAACCACTGCAGCACTTCGCTTAACTTCTTTTCCCTTTATCCTAATAAGTACCTAAGCATCACATGAGCATAAGAACAAAATTTCCCCATAAGTCACACACCAAACGAAAGGAATAAATCATCAAACTTTTCCAAAAGGGACACATGACAAACATTGGTTAAAATCCAGAATTCAACTTATAACAACTCAACAAAGGTAGTCCCAACTAATTGCGGTTCAACTCACGAATTTTATAAGTATAATATTCACCATATAACCATAACAATTCAATTACGTTACAACACGCAGCAAATCAAGAAAAATCTCCCAAATATCCGTTGGTCATGACTAACACTAACAAAATTTCGTAACACATGCCCAAAAAAATCCCAAATCCTCCCTTTGAAACCTACTCTATCAACCTATCATCAAGGAATTCAATCAAAAAATTTTGACATCAAACAGTATGTAAAATGAACAAGTACCCACCAACATATTTAAACACACAGGGCTAACAATATGCATATAGAATCAAGTATGCAACTGACACGCCTAATACAAAACATGAATTGAATTAATTCTCAAATATGACAAATAGAATGGTTAGGGAGCAAAAACCCCAATCAAGAGCGAGAAAATATCAAGGAAGCCCTCACCTGTATATCAAAATTAAGAGCTGTGGCCGATCTTGACTCAGCAAAACCGAACCAGACTATTCCCAACAACCCAATTACAACACATAAATATTCACAAAAACCCTTAAATCAAAACCAATAATAAATGAAAATTTGAACATCAAAATAGGATAAGAAGGGTGTATTGTAGTACGTTAAACGAAAGTAAGATTGTGAAAACAAATCGGAGAAATCGAGAGATGAGGATATAGAAAGATGGATATACAGAGAGAGAAATAGGGGTTTGATTTGTATTTATGACTTTTTTTAGATTTTATCCTATTTAATTACTACTTGTTTTTTATCTGCCAACGAAGGCTTTGTACCAATACGGTGATGCTGATGCCTTTTCTTTCTGCCCACACAAAACAATATTACTATCGTTTTGCCAATTTGAGGAAAATTCTTTGGCACTTCAATCTCGTGATTACTCGTTTTGTCGAGCGCCAATTCTGACATGTTGATATAATTTTGTACGATTAATTATTAAATATGTATAATAAATAATATAAACTAATATTTATTATTTAAAACACACAAAATAATTTTTTTTTTGTGAGTCTTTAACACAAATACGAAAAAAATAACACGACACGTGGATTACACAAACGCAACACGATTAACACTCCTTATTATAAGCTAATTCTATATAAGTGAATAAAATACAAAATTAAAAAATTATGTATTATATTTGGTGTTTCATACGATATTAAATTAAGAAGTGGATAATAGAGTACCAATTATATATTAGAAAAAATCATAAATTTTATTTAGTTATTAATATTTTTGTTTATTTGGTGGGTAAAATAATAAATTTATAATTTAATACGTTTGAACTGTATTATATATAATCGGTTCAATAATACGAACAAAATATATTATTTGAATAAATATTTAAAATGAGATTATACATAATACGGGCTATTTTTTGTAATCAAACACAATATAAGATTTAATTAATTAGATAATTTTTATCTGTAATCCAAACGTTACATACAAACATATGAGGTGTATATGTTGGAATTTTTCTTATATTGAACTACTATTAATTGATAGTTAATTTTAGTTCGTGAAAAAAAAATAAGTTGAATTTTATGGTCCAATGAGATGAGCTCAATATTATTAAGTGATCTATTTTGATGGGCTTATTTATATTTTTTAATTGATATGGTTGAGGCGGTTAAGTGTAGGTCTTAATCTAATTGTGGCCCGTAATAGAAGGACCCATTAGATTTCATTATAAATAGTAAGTTAGGTCTTCTTTCCATTTTATAACCCTAAATTGGCTTGACTAATTGAGAATCGTAGATTGTTTTGAAGAATGAGAGGAAGATCTTACCATTTCAAGAAATAATTCAGAAATCGAATATCATGGCTCATACAAGTATGTTCTAAACCTTGTAATTTAGGTGTTCTAAATTTCATATACAAATTATTAAAATTTCTTACATGTGATATCAGAGCTTATCGTATATGAATTTAGAACCCGATAAAATTCATGTATCATTAAACTGCTAATTTTCGTCGAATTTAGCATTCAATTTTTTACATTATTGTTCATGGTCTTATTGATTAAAAGTTACAGTATATATATATACTAGTCATAATTCGTGCATGAAGCAACGATAAAATATAAAATTCGAGCTTCAAAAAAATTGATTTCCACTATATTAAATTTTTTCAAAATATATTAATTATAAATTAATTAAATATTAAATAATTAAATATATGATAGAAATAAGTGATGTGATATTTTTAGGAAGAAATATATAAATGATTAAACATATGATAGAAATGAATGATGTGATTTGACGTTTGATTCTGACAAATAGATGATGGGTGAGATAAGTGATTAGTGATAGTTTTGAAGGAAAAATATGACTGAGATAAAATTCAAACATACTTCTATTTTATTATATAGATATATATATATATATATGACATCACCAGAAGGAAAAAAATAGCATTGTAAGACTATTGTTTTCGGTACGTCACAAAAAAAAAAAAAATGACGGTGGCATCGAATTTCTCATACAGTTGTCGCCAACAGTTGAATTCCTTCGAGTGTTGAATTCTTTTGGTTCAGAAATTTTAAGCCGCCATCTTATTGCCATGAATTTGGGCAATTATGGATTGACGGCTACACTTGATATATATATATATATATATATATATATATATATGTTGTATGTTAAATTTTTTTTTTTAAGATTAATATACATCATCTTCTTGTGGATAACTCGGGTTAATAACGTAGGGTCGTGTTAATAAATTGATGTACACTTTATTCACATAAATTATTTTCTCATGTTAATATAATTTTGATTGAATTGTTATAATTTGTACATAGTGTTTGTACAATTCTAATTTTAGTCTCTAGTGATTTATATGATGAATTTTTTTTATGATCTACGTATTATTTATTAATGTTGGTAGATTTGAATTTAAATTACTTAATTTTAATAGTAAAAATAGAATTGAAACCTGAATATAACGATTGATGATGAGTGATCTAAAGAGATACATATTGATTAGTACCTCATATTGATTGATCACATAATATTTAATTATAGACAATTTATTATAATATTTCAGTTTAAGAAATTCTATGAGTTAAGATGGGTGGTTGCCACAAAGTAGTCCATTCATTGAAATTTATAGTTTTTCTTATGTTTTTTTTATGGAATTATCTCTAAATTATAATATACAATTATCTGCCCAAAAGGGTTGCTGTGTATTGTAATTTAGAGATGTCATGAAATATTGTGGTAGATATGCAATAGTCTAGAAGGTTTATCTGTCCAAATGGGATAAATTTTTTAAAACTTGAGCATTCTCATTGTTTGTTTCGTGAAAGAGAGGACTTATAGCATATTACATTCTCTGCCCAAATGGGAGTTTGTAGTAATGTATTTAGACTCTCTTAATAAAATATGACTTATTATGTTCAAAGCATATTTTATTTTATTTATTGCCCAATTTTGCTAATTGTTTATATTCCGTTGCCTTGTACAGTTTATTTTGGTATGAATAGTAATAATGTCAACATTGAAGTCTTGACTGATTCTAATTATAAAAGTTGGAAACAAGATATTGAATTTGCCCTGCGAATTGCTGATATAGACTTTGCATTGAAAGAGAATGAACCTGCTAAACCTACTAGTGAGAGTTCTCCTGATGAAAAAGAACTTTATGCAAAGTGGGAGAAATCTAATAGACTGAGTATGATTGCTATGAAAAGGTTTATCTCTGAACACCTTATGAGTAACTTGCCTAAAACCAAGAATGTCAAAGAGTTCTTCACCGTTGTAAAAGAAAGATACAAGGTATTCAATAAGATTGAAGTTGAGGACTTAATGAATGAATTAATGAGTATGAAATATGACAATGTAGGTGGTATTAGGAAATATATCCTTAGAATGGTCCATGTTCAAACTAATCTCAAAGCCTTCAAAATTGTTATTCCTAATGATTTCATTGTTCATCACACTCTTAATTTTTGCTTCCTGAGTTTAGTCAAATCAAAACTGCCTACAATACCCAAAATAAGTCCTGGACAATAAATGACCTTATTTTCAAGTGTGATTTCAAGGAAAAAAAATTAGAAAAGAAAAGAGTGAAACTGTCTTATTTGTTTATTTAATTAATGAAAAATCTAATGCTCTTAAAAAGTTTAAAATTTTCAAGACTGAGGTAGAGAAACAATTAGGGAAATTCATCAAAATTGTTAGGTCTTACGTGGTGGTGATGGCAAATATGACGTGTCTGGGTAGCATTTGAAACCGTTTGCCAAGTACTTGTAAGATTGTGGGATTGTTGCCCAATATACCATGTCTGATAGTCCTGAGTAAAATGGTGTGGCTGAAGGACATAATCACACCTTTAAAGACATGATGTGTAGCAAGATGAGTAGGTGTAACTTACCTGATTATCTTTGGGGAGAAACCATTAAAATGACTTCATACATTCTTAATAGAGTTTCCTAGCAAATCTGTTCCAAAAATACCTTTTGAATTATGGACCAATAGGAAACCAAGCCTTAACCATTTTCGAGTCTAGGGTTGTCCTACTAAAGTCAAAATCTATAACTCTTTGAGAAAAAGACTGATTCTAAAACTACTCGTTGTTTCTTCATAGGTTACCTAGAACATTCTAAAGGATACCGATTTTATTGTCCTACACGTGGTACTAAAATTGTTGAGTCTTTAACAACAAATTTTCTGGAGCTTGATGTTATTGATATTTGTTGTTCACAGCCTACTAGTAAGCATGAACAAAATAAATTTATTTCTATTCATTTACCTGTTGTGCAAGAGAATATTATACCTGCTTCTATTATTAATTTTCCTGCTCCAGTTGTTGATCCCCTGTTCTTGCAATTGAACATTTTGTTCCTATTGAGGCTCCTCAACCTTTAGAGCCTACTACTAAAATTTCCTTAAGAAGATCTACAAGACCAAAAAGATCTGTTATTTCTGATTAATATTATGTATACCTTAGAGAAAGTAATTATGATATAGGTGATATTGTTGATCCTGTAACATACCATGATGCTATTACTTGTCCTCAGTCTGATATGTAAGTAGATGTCATGAAAGATTAGATGCATTCTATGACACATAATGAAATGTGGGAGCTTGTGGAACTTCCTGAGGGATGTAAACTCATTAGCTGCAAATGGGTGTTTAAAACTAAGATGGACTCCAAAGGTAAAATTGAAAGATTTAAGGCTGGATTGGTAGTAAAAGGGTATAGCTAGAGGGAATGTATAGATTTTAATGAAACTTTCTCATCTGTCTCTACTAAAGATTATTTCAGGATCATTATGACATTAGTGACTCATTTTAATCTAGAACTTCACCAAATGGATGCGAAAACAACTTTCCTGAATGGTGAGTTTAGTAAAGAAGTTTATATGATGTAACCTGAGGGTTTTAAGGAGAATAGAAATAACAGTTAGTGTGCAAGTTGAAGAAGTTTATATATGGTCTCAAACAGGTTTCTTGTCAGTGGTACTTGAAATTTGATGAGATAGTAAGTTCTCTTGATTTTGTTGAGAACAAGATGGATCAATGCATATATCTTAAGGTTAGTGAGAGTAAATTTATTTTCTTGTTCTTTATATTGATGATATTTTACTTGCAAGTAATAATTTGGACTTACTTCATGAGATTAAACAATTATTGTGCACAATATTTGACATGAAGATTTTGGGGAAGCATCTTTTATGTTAGGCATTCAGATTCATCGGGATAGGAGTCGTGGATTGTTGGATCTTTCTCAAAGGGCATATATATATCGTGTGCTTGAAAGATTTAATATGCATAATTGTAAGTTTGGGGATGTACCTGTTGTGAAAGGTGATAAATTCAGTCTAAGCCAATGTCCCAATAATGATCTTGAGGAGGAGTTTATGAAGAATATACCTTATGCGAGTGTTGTTGGCAGTTTAATGTATGCACAAGTTTGTGCCAGACTTGACATTGCTTTTGTAGTTAGTGTTTTTGGCAGATATCTTTCTAAACCAGGATTAGATCACTGGGTGGCAGCTAATAAAGTTATGAGATACTTGCGAAGAACAAAAAAATTCTATGCTTGTTTATAGGAGAGTTGATAGTCTTGAAGTGATTGATTAGACAGATTTAGATTTTGTTGGGTGTTAGGATGATTTAAAATCCACTTCAGGATATATTTTCATGTTTGCTGGAGGAGCAATATCATGGAAGAGTGTTAAACAAACTCTCATAGCTTCTTCCACTATGTAAGCTGAATTTGTAGCTTGTTATGGAACTGCAACACAAGCTATATGACTAAAGAATTTTATTTTAGGAGTTATGATTATTGATTCCATCTCTAGACCACTAACAATTTATTGTGATAATAGTGTAGTCGTGTTCTTCTCAAAGAACAACAAACATTTTAGTGGGTATAAACATATAAAATTAAATATCTTTCTGTTAGGGATCTTGTAAAGAAATGTGACATTGTGATTTAACATATTAATACAAAATAAATGCTTGCTGATCTTTAACCAAGGGACTGAGACCTGTAACTTTTAAGAAACATGTTGACAACATGTGTATTTTTTGGTCTTTTGATGTATTTGGTTAGTGAGAGTTTTTTTTTATGTGTTAAGAACTTTAGTGTTTATTTAATTCCATATGTGATATTTGATACTTATTATGGTTGAGATACATCTATTTGATAAATAATAAATAATTGATAATTATGCTTATTGTTAGCATGATATTCTTGCTATATTATATTTGTATATATTTATGACATGTCATTTTATATAAATCTTTAAGGCTTGGTGTATGTCTTAAGTATGACTGTTTTGTCAATTGAGTATGTCTCTAATTACACCATTTGAGAAAATTTTGTAATATTAAGTTTGGAGACATACTAGCTTATTGTTGAAACTAATGGATTTCTCTAGTTTATTGTTGAAGCATGTTGTTAAAGATAAATCATCTGGAGGACTAACAATGAAAATAACATGTTTATCAGATCACATATTAAGATGTTATTTATTGTTACACTACTACATCTTGATCTATGTCAATAAAATTATTATTTTTTATAATCATGGATTGGTCATATGTCAATAAAGGATATAAAGGCTACCATGGTTTGAAAATAGTAGTTTTATTGGACCGGTTGTGTTTGAGATGTTGTATCAGAACCATATTATTTTTTATTGTGGCCACATTGAGTTTTGTTTGATTAGTCCGAGAGTCGTTTTCAAAAATATGTATATAATTTTATTTTATTTCTAAATGACTACAATTAATGTTATTCAAGTGGGAGAATGTTGGAATTTTTTCTATATTGAACTACCATTAATTGATAGTTAATTTTAGTTTGTGAACAAAAAAATGGGCTGAATTTATGATCCAATGAGATGAACCCAATATTATTAAGTGATATATTTTGATGGACTTATGTACATCTTTTAATTGATGTGGTTGAGGTGGTTAAGTGTAGACCTTAATCTAATTGTAGTCAGTAATGTGAGGGCCCATTAGATTTCATTATAAATAGCAGGCTAGGTCCCCTTTTCACTTCATAACCCTAAATTGGTTTGTCCCATTGAGAGTTGACTATTGTTTTGAAAAAAAACAGGAAGACCTTGTCCTTTCAAGAAAGAAATTCGGAGATCGAGTATCATGACTCATACATGTATGTTCTAAACATTGTAATTTAGGTGTTCTAAATTTAATATACGAATCATTAAAATTTCTTACAGTATAATCGTAATTTATTATTTTTGAAATTGTTAATTATAAAATTATCTTTTTTATAAACAACGATGTATACAAAGTGACATATTCACACGTACAACCTGTGCGAATGTAATATTTATTTTAAAAATTTTAATAATTATGAGTAATACTATTTGAATCTAAAAATCTGACATAATTTATTGACATAATGATGTGATTTCATATGAATCATTGGATCAACACTAAGTTCTAATGTTTGATGAAGTCTACAGTGAATCTAAATGTTAAATGAATTAAGTTAGTAAATTATGTGTCAATAACATTGCTCAATAATTATTATATTATTAGTTCAGCATCTTCAAAATTAAATCCTTGGAGTTCAACATGAGTATTACTATATTTGAATTTCTAAACTCGAGCTTATACAACGCTAGGTTGAAATTTTTGTTCAATTCTGATTGAAAATTTGGGTAAAAATTACGAGTTGGTCCAAGTCAAATTTGATTATCAATAACACAAATTAGGTCGAAAATTTCGTATTTAATTTAATTTTAGTCATAATTCGTCAATTTTGGTTGGAATTAGAATACCCAACACTTTTACATAAGTATTACTAGAATTCAAATTAATTTTAGATTTTTCCACGTAAACTTAACCAAAAATAATAAAATATTATATCCCAATTATTTTAATTAAATTTTAAATTTTAAATCTCTCTCTCACACACACACAGAAATTACACCCACTGTGGTCGCACACATACACACATAAATTACACGCACACATAGACAAAAAAAAGAGGGTTTCAAAGTGACAAAAGTAAAGGGTTTTGTGGATTCAATATTTGTCTTCACCTAGGTTCCATGGATTTGATCTTCGTCTTCGTCTAGGTTTCTGAGAGAACAATCTTCATCTTCGTTCTCGTCTCTTCATCTGGGTTTTTGTGAAAGAGAGAAAAGATAGGGAATGGGAAAGTGATGAAAAAAGAAAAATAAAAGAGGAGAAGGGTTTTTATGATAACCACAAAAAAAACCCTATTTTTGTTGTTAATGAGATTCAAATGGGGGATCTCATTAAATGAGGCTGTGCGCACAAGTGTTTTCAATTTTTCTTGTTTTTGAGATTTTTTTTTTGTTATTTGTTTTTGGGCATTGTTTGTCAAACAACTTATTTTATATAAAATAAAAACCCAAACCTAAACCCAACATGTTTTTATTTTTATTTTGCCCACAAAATAAAAATAAAAACAAAAACACGAGCCAAATGACTCAAACGTTCCTAATTTGAACTAACAAGAAGGTATATCAACGGATCGGATTCTGATTCGAATTCAATTAACTAGATATGAATTAATATTTTTTTATCAATAATCCAAATTAGAATTCATTATCTTATATTTTATGAGTTCAAATATAGATATACCTATATGTAATCCGATATGAATTATCTATATATATTTTATATAAAGATTTTAAAATTAAGTGGTTATATAAAGAAATTTAATTGAAATTTAGGGATAATTTGTTAAAAATTAATTAAATAAGTTATTCGGATTGTTAACTGATTTAAATATATACCAAAAAAATAAAAATTTATCAAATTATTAAATTCAAATTAAATTTTTGAAATCGAATTCAGATTCGAATTAACAAGAATCCGATCCAAACCGGATTGATTGAGAGGCCATTCTCTTACTGCCGTATAGGATGATGGTCTTTCCCTTCCGTGTTCCAAGTCTCAAGTCTCCTCCGAACTACCCAAAAGACCACGGGGGCTTTATGTGACGTGGGAAGATCACCACCCTCCATGAACCACCCCACTGGCCCAGATCATTTCACAGGGGCGGGAATACGTAAAATTTAGGCTTAATCTGGCGGGAAATTGTGGTCATCTATTACACAACCATTATTAATACAGAGCCCCTTCTCTCTCTCTCTTCTTTCTCTCTCTACACAACTCGATTTCGTCTTTTTTACGTAGTCAAATATCATCTTCTCTTGCTAAGATGGGGAAGAGAAAGAAAACTAGGGTTTCAGAAGAAAGTTTAGAGAAGGAAGAAGAAGAGCTTGGAAAACGGGATACTATGAACAGACCTCCCTCAGATGAGAAGAGCTTGTACGAGGTATTTTATAATTTTCGTGTGATTTAGGTATTTTATTAGACGCAGTTCTTGGTATGATTTTACAAATGATATTTGCGTAATTGGTAGCTTGTTTTGTAATGATTGCTTCAGCTTTGACATTTCTTTTTGGTATTTGATTAATACTAAAATTGTTTGAAAGTAAAATATGTTTTAATAATTTGGTAGATTGTGGAACTAATCCCCAAGTTTAGGTCTGGACAAACTGGCAATTCGCGTAAAGATTGACTGTTTGGGGGTGTTCGTGTGTGTTTTTTTTTTTTGGGGGGGGGGGTGGGGTATTGGGGAAATAATGAGATCAGGGTTGAAACGGCCTTGGGTTTCACGAGGCACTTAGTGTTCTTGTATCAAACAGTGGCGCCCATATGTAAAAATGCTCTAGTTTACCTGTCTTTGAATCCTTCTTGTAGGTAAAATAGGGTAGCTTAATTCAATGTTACCCAGACCGTGTGTCGATTTGGTACTTGGTACGTAGTGACACAGTGCTATGGGGTAGACTTAATTGGTATGATATTTTGGCTTGCGATTCATTTTGAATCTTTTATCTAGATTGCTTTCACTATGGATGAAATTATATATAGAGAAGTATATTCATACATACAAAGTCAGCTAATATATATTTAATATTTGTGATTGGTTTCTTATTTTCTAAATATACATATAATTGCACATTCACACATGCTATTAACAAATGTTTTTTTTACATTTATGACAAAAGTTTTGATTACTAATCAACATAAGGTTATGGTTATAGTTTGGGGTCAAAAATTTATGTGAACTGGGTCTTGAATGCACCCCTTCAGATCGTTGCATCCAGTTTGTGCTTCGTTTGGGATTTAGCGATTTCTGATTCCTGTGGCTTGATTACATATGAATTTATGTAAGCGAGTGTACCCATTGTTCTAGACATCAACCGAAGGATTTTCCATAATCATTTGAGCAAGATCATTGTGGAAAAAGTTGTCATAGTGATTGTCATTCTCAAGTGGCAGAAATATATTTTTCCGTGAAGATTTGGAAAATTCCATTCACAAAGTGATATGATAGTAAGAAGTGGTGGAATTATTTTATGCATGATGATTCTCGCCTTTGGGTTCCAGAGAGGATGGGGCGGGCTTCCCTCGGTCTACCCTGGGTTTTTGAAAGTAGGCATTAAGGTCTCCTACCCAATTGATGCTAATCTCCTAGAAGGAAATTAAGTTTTAGTGTTGAATTTTGTCATTTGACGGCCAACAATTCTTTGACGTTGACAACAAAGCTCTCTACCTTATAGCCCATAGAATTTTCTTTTTAGCTTACAGCAGCCGAAATTCACTCCATCAGTGCATATTATTATAACTCACCATAATTGTGGAAGAGTCAACATAATGGATTACCCAACGATTATTGTTCTAACTCATCTTTCATCCATTTTAAGCATTTTTTGACTCCTCTTCTAGGGTTGTGGATGATGGTGATGGTTGTGCGCATGGCGGTTGTGTTGTATAAGATTGAAAATAGGTCACTCATTTGGGTTTGGGATAGAAAGTGATAGAGAAAGATAGGAGGAGGATAAAAAGGGGGAGGTGATGGATGATGATTATAGTGGAAGAAAGTAGTGAGAAGTTGGTGATATATCTTTAAAAAGTGAAAGTGGAGATACCAAAGATCGATTTGTAAGTAAAAAAGAGGTGGTGATTATTGTTACAACTAGTGAAGTTGATGTGTTATTGGTGTTGCGTTAAATAGAGAAAAAAAGAGAGACAAAGTGACAGGTGCCATGATAATGGAGGATGATCCTCATGGTGAATGAAGATTGTGAGTAGAAAAATTACGCGTGTGAAGGGAGAAATTGAAAAAGAAATCAATTAGAAGTTGGTGTTGATGGGGAGTGGAAATTACCGTCAGAGGTGGTGGTCGGTTGATGTATTGGGTTAGAGGGAAAGATGCGTGAGCAGAATAAAGTGGAAGAGGAGCTGTTATCTCAGTTTCATTCAATTAGGGCTTTATGCATTCTTAGGGCCATGTCACAATATGCCAAGGCATGGCAGAAGTTTATGTATCCTTGTTGAGAATTCAAAAATATTTTGGAATGGGTTAATTACTATAAATAGGTGATACTATGATACAATTATTCTAATGGTTTGTTTTGGAAGATCACTAAGACACCAAACGATTACGTGTTGATTTGGCGACACAACTTATTAGGGGTTCATCTAAACGGTTTTAAATTAAGTACTACATGTATGTCATGGATGAGAAAGATATCAACTTTAAGAACTTTGTTGCTAACTTTTGCTAGAGTGATTGTGGTTAGTGATTTTTTTGTCAATTTAAAGGAAAAAGGTTTTACATTTGTAGGTTAATCTTCAGGTTTAGTAATTATTCTGTGACGATGAGAATCATAGTTCAAAGTTGCGGCATCGGCCATTAACTCGGAGAGCTTTAAGACATTTCGGTCGCGATGTCTCGCTGTGATATCAAGCGATATGATCTAAAAAAAAATGTTGAACATAACGAGAAATTCAAGTCACATCGCGGCGTCATGAAACCGTATTGATCAATTTGGTGATGATATTTTGGCAATTCGGGATTGACTCGAATACAACTCGGACAATTCGACTAAGTTGTGCGAGACTCGGGTTTATACGTATTGTGTAACGGTATCGACTTCGACGATGCTGAGATAGATACGACTCGGGCGACTCTAATGGTATCGGCTAATACTTTGATCCATGGATGAGATCTATTTGGAGGTAACTCATTTTGGTGGTTCACAGGTTTTTTGGGTCAAGTGATTTGTAGTTAAGTTGCCAGAACTTATACGACAGATTAACTAAATGTGTTGTAAATCCTTTGGTTTAGACAGAGAGAGTAAAGAGAGGAAAGCCTTGAATAAACAAGCTGTAAGGGGAACTATTGTTGGTACAAAGAAGGGGGGACCTAGTTTTATCCTTTAAAACAAAAATCCGATTTTCAATAGGCTATCATCATTCCTAGACACCCCCATTGGATCTACTGATTTGACTAATTGAGATACCATTTGAAACATAAGAATTCATTTGGTAAAAAAAATCCATTTAATGGTTCTCGCTTCTCGGTGCCTCAGCTAGACAAGGTTCTTGTAGTTACTGGTTCTGAAAGTGCTATTGGAATTTGTTTAGATATTCTTTAATGTTTGATATGTTAGTTATTTTGTGTGGGTAATTTCTTGCACAATAGTGAGGTAGCAACACTTTGGTGTTGACTCGAGAGTGGATACTCTAGTATGGGATACGACGAAAACTTGAGGATCACATAGAAAAGTTAGAAGCGAGGCCGGAGGTGTCTCCATTGATTCTCCTTCGATACTTTAGTCAGTTTATGAAGATGGAGTGAGACACGGTTTTGTGAGTTAGTTTTGTGAGAGCGTTTCTTTTCCTTTCCTCTAAGACTGCTATCTATACTTTCTTGGTAGACAAATTCGCCTTTCGAGGGCATCCATATAATCCCCTTTGGTGGGAAGGCCTCTGATTGGTGCGTCCTTGAGACATCAGGGACGTTTCGTTGACGTCGATCTTTGATATTCGTATGCACACTTATTTGAAGCAATTTAATTACATTAACCCTTCGGTTTTTGGGCCCTTGGCCGATCATTAATACTCGTGCGGAGCATTCACTGTGAGATTTGACTTCTGACGAAATGTCTCGTATTAATGAATATCGGCATTACACCATATGCCGAGGAATCGCTGTTATCTGACCTTGCCCCCCTGTGCACTTAATGCCTTTCAACCATTTGACCAAGTCTCGTGTGGAGCATTTATTGCGTTCTCCAGGGTCCTCATATGATTGGTTGTAGCGTACAATCCTGTCAAATCCTGATACCTAGGATGAAGGTCTCATGCTTGTTGACACTTAGGCACAACCTTTCACAAGACATTCCTTCATTTATTCCCAGGTGGGCGTTCTTACCAATGCAAGATTATGTCAGTGCTCAGGATCGGTTTTCTCTGTCCGAGCAGTAAGACTCCTCCCTTGGCGTGTAATGCAACTCTGAGTGGTTTCCACACAATCACTCAGTGTACAATGGTCTTACTTCCCGAGGATAACCCTCTTCGGTCACGACATAGTTCGGCGTCTCAATATCCTCGGTCTCAACCGCAGAGACCCCTTCCCTTGGCATGAATACAAATTCCTTCTGTACAGTGGACTTCCTCCTCGAGTATAACCACACGGGGCCGAGCAATCATCATCTCGGCGGTCAACATACTAAGCCATTTGTCAGAATCTTATTGGTCCATCAGTTCACGCCCCATCATTTTATATCATATATTATCTATTTGATATTTTTTTTTGTTTTTGTTTTTCTTAATTTAAACACAATTAGAGCTGAGAAAGATTATGCTTTATTTCTCTTTCCCATTTTCATTGAGATGCCTTTGTGAATTAATGTTTGAAATGTTCCTGTCACTGAAATGTTCCTGTACTGGATACAAGCACTTGGAAATTTGTAGAAGTGGTTCAATCACTTATTGTCAGTTATCAAACTCCTAGACCTCCTTTTTCCTCCTCCTTATTAACTGCAAAAGATTTTGAAGTAAGAGTTTTGGTTAAATTGGAGTGCAAGTCAACTCTTTTTTTTGAATTATTGTTGTCTTCTAGTGACTCAAGCTTGCACTTTTTGTTGTATGTTATCTGTTTTTCGAATTAGAAGTGGAGTGACAAGGATGAGATTACAAACCCTGTGCCTTGCAGATTCTTGGGGTGGAAAGAACAGCATCTCAGCAGGAAATAAAGAAAGCATACTACAAGTTGGCATTACGGCTGCATCCTGATAAGAATCCCGGCAATGAGGTGAAAATTGATTCTTAATGAGGCTAAACCCTTCTACAATTATTTTGGAGTCCAGATTTCTTTGTTTTTTTGGGGTATAATTTCTAATCTTCTATTTGTAGGAGGCCAAGGAGAAATTTCAGCAACTGCAAAAGGTGATATCAATTCTTGGTGATGAGGAGAAACGGGCACTCTATGATCAGACTGGTTGTGTTGATGATGCGGTGAGTAATTGTTGAAAGATTTATTCTTTTTGCAATATTAGATAAAATAACCAAGCTTGGGGGTGTTTGGACTTTGGAGTAATTGGACACTGTTTTGGCCCATTTGATAGTCTTAGGATGTCATGGCCTTATTTCACCTTAAAATTCAATTGGTCGGCAAAATAGTTGTCCCTTCTGAAAGAATTTCACACCACCCCGTTTAAGGAGAAGAATCCTACTTTATGTCATTCCAGGAAAATTGAAGAATATTAGCATTACAAGGATGTGTCATCTGAAATGTAACACTAGACAAAATGGATTCATTTATAGTGCTCCGAAAAATGCTCTGAATATTTTTTTCCCCTAATGGCAATTTGGCACGCCTTCTTAAGTCATCACATGTTTTGTTTTTTGACAGGACCTTGCAGGGGATGTTGTTCAGAATTTAAAGGAGTTTTTCCAAGCTATATACAAAAAGGTTAATTTGGATTGTTTTGTTTACAGGGTGGTGGTTGTTGAAGAGGATTAACATTCTCTGAATTTTGCAAGAACATATGTATTGATTGCAGGTTACTGAGGCTGATATTGAAGAGTTTGAAGCTAACTACAGAGGATCTGACTCGGAGAAAAGTGATTTGATTGATTTGTACGAGAAGTACAAGGGTAATATGAACAGGTATATCTGTCAATGGTTGATGTTTCCTTACTGCTATCTATATGGACTTTTTAATCAATTAAGAAACCCCTTTTAGTCTCATAGGAACTAAAATAAACTGCCCATAAAAGCTGTTTGACATGAAATTTGAATGATATCATTAAGATCAGAGAGTATACCATGACAAAGAGCTGTTTAACATTAATATTGGTGGACTGGAGTAAACATCTAAAATGCTTTCATTCCACAGGCTCTTCTGTTCAATGCTATGCTCAGATGCCAAGTTGGATTCTCATCGATTCAAGGATATTCTGGATGAGGCCATAGCTACAGGTGAGTGTTTTTATTGGCTTTTTATTCAGATGAGTTTCGTCAAGCAACTGATTCGTTCTAGACTTTTAAACTAATATTGAATCTGATGTTGAGACCTCACTTGGAAGTAGATCAGTATCCAATAGCTGTTCAGTGACACCTTCTTCCCGATCCTGTTGTTGAAATTAAATTATTCAATGATCTTTGCCATCTGATTTTATCTTGTTACTTTCCGTAGACTAAACTAGGGCCACTCAGTGGTTGGCACCTGTCCGCTTAAACATTTGCAGTTATAAAAATCGTCCCTGGTATTGAGGTTATGCCCTCCATGGAAATAACATCTGACATCTTTCATGGTGTCAGATGCATTTTGGTTAGTTATTGTTATTTCTTTCTGGTGACACTAACCTCTCTAACCCCTCATATAGGAGAGCTGAAGCCAACGAAAGCATATAAGAAATGGGCTAAGCAAGTATCTGAAACAAAACCTCCTACAAGTCCTTTAAGACAGAGGCAGAAGTGAGTCATCTCCTTTGTGGTTCTTGTTGATATGATACTTAAGTAATGTCTTTATGCTTTGCTAATGAACTGGATCATATTTACTGCTTATCAAACTTTTTACTCTCCTACAGATCAAAGAAAGAGTCAGAAGATTTATATGCCATTATCTCAAAGCGCCAAAATGATAGGAGAGGCCGAGTTGATTCCATGTTATCCTCTTTGATGAGCAAATATGGTGGAGGCGAACCATCTTCAGAACCGAGTGAAGAAGAATTTGAAGCTGCTCGGAAGAAAATTGAAAGTCGGAAGACGGCCAAAAATTCAAACGGTAAGTAACTGCACTTGAAAACATTGTGTTCTATTTTCCTGTAAAAATTGAATCCTGTTCAATGTCTTCATGTATCTGTATTTGGCAGCTAATTATTTGCTGGTGTTATTGTTTTTTCCGTCACAAATATTTCTTCTGATTCTCTATACCTAGTTGTGGCTGGTAGGTCTTGGTTTTCAAGATCTTACAACCAGAAGGCTGTGCTTGGAAGATGTCCTAGGTGTCAACTCTAATATAAATTTTAGGATTAGCAGGCACAAGATTGAAACCCATACCTTGGGCAAAGTTTTTCAATAAGCATTCATTTAGAATCTCCATCTCAGCAAACACATTGCTATCTATTGTTGCTAGGCCTCCTCCAGTTTTCCAGTTGGTGCAGTCCCTGCACTTCTACTTCTCTCGCGCCCCCTGCCTACTTGAAGGTCTGACAGCATAAATGCCCACGACACTAGTCACAATCTTTTGCACTATCTTCATTATAACCTTAATAAAGAGAAATATACTACGATAACATTGCAAGATACTACGATAACAATGCAGCCTACATTGACAGGTTAGAAAAGATCTGAGCATGTTTAAAGTTTACAAGCAATTTTATCACTTCGAGAAACTAAGAAAGTTAATAGCTTGCATTGACAGGTTAGAACAGAATTAAAAAAAAAATGACAAACTAATCAAGTTGTATTGGGTGTGAATAAACTGTAAAAATTCTCAAACTAATCATACATTTCCATGCTCCAACCAAGAACCAAAATTTTTACCAAGATCAACATGTTGTGCAAATCATATAATTGCACTCTGGACATTCTAATACCCAATTGTATTCAAAAGAAGAGTCGCCACACTTATGACACATGAAATTCTGATTCCTCTTTTCAAGAAAAGTTGACAGTGTCACGAAACTCGATGTACACAGAGATTCTCAATGCATTTAGAATGAAAAGGTTGATAGCAATTGTGACAATGATAAATCTAGAACTTTGAATTTATTTTATCCTCACAATATTTATCGTGAAATTCATCTGAATGATCACTATAAGAAGTATAGCTTAAGGTGAGAGGATGTTTATCTCATCTGTGGCTGAAAGTATGCGGGAGTAAAGCACATTGGGGGCATATATAGAACTCGCAAGTATCACATTCAAATCTAATCCCAGAGGAAGGAAATCCACATGCATTGCACTTATACTTTGAACTTTCACTTAGAAACAAGGGGTTCTTATGGGTTTTATGTGCACCAACGAAATGAGATGAGATTTTTAATGTATATTCTTATCAAATCGTCTTCTTCACATATCCAACAATGGGATTTGACTATTGTACTCATAAAAAAATTGAGATCATACCCCTAAAATTTATTATTTTAAAAAATATTTTTATAATTTTTGTGATTATTTTTTAATTAAAAATTTTATAAATTTTATGCGTATTTTTATCATTGTTGCGAGTTTTTTTATCATATTTGTGAATATTTTTACTATTATTTTTTTTTGGTAAGGAAATATTTTTTCTACTATTGGAATAACTATTTTTATCATTTTTTTGAGTACTACAATAATGATAAAAGCATTTATAAATATGATAATAATAATCATAAATATAGTAAATAAAAGTATGATACCCAATTTTTTTTTTTTAATATTGTAGTCCCCAATAGTGGGGTGGGGATTTTCTCGTCGGTGTCTGTGCGTGTTTGGACCAGATATAATAAAATATCTTGTAATTAGGTACACAATTCAAATGATATTTGAATTTTTTTACTTATCATTTCTTAAATTATGAATAATTTTTTTACTTTCACTTTTGTTCACCTTTTGTTACTCTCTCTTTTTCTCCTCTATTTTTTTTTCTTTTTCTCTCCTATTGATAATTTATTTTCTTTTTAAATATGCAAATATTTGATTTGATTTGTTCTTCTCTTTACCCCTATTTTTCTCATTGTTATTCTTTTTTTTTATATCAGTATTATAATATAATTATACCGCTCAGTTATAATTGTCTTATAATACATCGAACAATTATTCATGTGTTCTAATAAATCAAAGAATTATACCAAATAATTATACCAAGTTATGGTGGGAAAATACTATTTGTTATTTTTGTCGGACCATGAATTCACTCTTAAAAGCGAGATTTTTAACTCCATTATTTAAAAAGTGTTGTAATTCAGTAAATAAGTTTTAAAATGTCGTATTTCAGTAAATTTGTTTCAAAATTACGATAGGTAAATAACTCAGATTTTGTTTTTGACAATATTTTACATTCTATGCACTCTAAAAATAACTTAACTTTTGTTACAACTTGAATTGAGTTAGCATTAGACATGAAAAATCTAATTTTGTTACAACAGACTTGATTTTTAGTATTACACAAAGAAAATATCTGATAATTATGTTTTGTCGTATAACAACGATAGATATTGGTTTTTTTGTTTAAATTTAATGATGCAAATAACACATATAGGTGAATTTCATGGCACGTCAGTTAACAATTTATCAATAAGTTGCACCAGGATAAGGCCACGGTAGGTGGACAGGTACCGGGCTAAAAATTAAATTTAATCAATATAAATGATACATAAGCAAAGCCGTTGACTTTTAATTTTGATTTGAATGATACATACATAATCATTGATTGAAATCCACTTAATTATTGTTAAATGAAATGGGATATATATATATCCAATATCCATACATATATGTCTATGTATTGAAGCACAAAAGCTATATGACCCACCCCTTTCCCTCTCTGCCATTGCATCTTTCCCCCTCTTTTTTTTTTTTTCCACTTTTTGTTGTTGAATTAGGTGGATAGGTGATGAAATAAAATTAGAATTATTGGAATTGGGTGATTTATTGATGAAGCTAAACTGAAATTTAGTAATAATTTGGTAAAATTTTTATTGCTTGAGGTAATTTTTAAAAAATTATTTATTCGGATCAAATGAAATTATCTGATCGGATGTTTGATTATTAATAGACTTGAATTTTAGTTAGATTATTGGATCGGATTCAAATTCAATTTTTTTAACAGATTAAAATTTGGATTGTCTGAGATCTGGTACAAATTCCATCTGTTGAGAAGCATAATTGTTAGCATGAATGATGGAAGAAATATTATACTGTTTTAGAACTATTTTGTTTTCTTCGTACTGGTACAACTGTGAGTAGACAAAAAAGCAATTCTCCAACTAATAATACATTTCCAAATTCCACCCGATAGCAAATACTTTTACCAAGAGCAAGATTTAAATGATCTATCGCCACAACTAAGCAGATCGTATAATTACATTCTAGACATTCTAACAAGTATATTTTATCCTCACTGCACTTAGAACACTTGGAATAAGGATTCTTCTTTTTAAGAAACATGAGACGGTGAGGGTGATCTATAATTTGAACGGTGCCACCAAGCTTGTAGTTCGCGCGGAGATTCTCGACGCACCTTGTATGAAATGACTGATCGCAATCACGACAATGATACATCCAAAACTTTGGATTTATTTCATCCTCACAATATTCACAATGAAACTCATCTGGATGGTCAAAATAAGGAGAATAGTTCAAGGTGAGAGGATGTTTGTCCCATCTGTGATTGATAATATGTGGGAGTACAACACAACGGGTGCATATATAGAACTTGCATTTATCACATCCGAATCTAATCCCAGAGAAATTAAAGCTACATGCATTGCAATTATACTCCGAACCTTCACTTCGAAACAAGGGATGCTTGTGGGCTTTATGTGCATAAGCTTCATCAGCTAAACAAGCACATTTGATGTCAAGAAAGAAGTCACATGTTTCACAGTTGTAGAACAATCCATTGGTGTATACTCGACACAAGTTGCACTGAAAGGCATCATAGATCCTCTTGTAGTTAAACAAACAGAGCGGGTGTTGAAGGTGACTAGGATGTTGCAACTCCGTCGGTAAGTTGATACAACTTAAATGAAGAGAGTAATTGCAATGACTACGACAGCTATAAAATAGACTAGAGATTGGTTGCACACAACCGTTGCATAATATTTTTTCTTCTTTTATCTCATTGTCGCCTTGCACTTCGGAAAGAGTTAGTGGATGCTCATGGCCAAAATATGTTACCTCTGTTTCTCTTTCTCTCTCTTCAAGGTCCAACTGCTCAACAAATTTTTTTATGAAATCTTCGAAACCATCTGTCACCGGTAAATGGATCACATTGGAGTCGGGAGGTTCAACAACTATATTCTCATCTTCACCTCCTCTGAAACTGAAACTGTACAATTTAGCATTAAAATTTTAGTTAACAAGTACAATATCATTGCAAGGAATTCATTAAACACAGGGGAGGGGGGAACTTACCATTTCAGATGGACAAAATATCTGCATGGGCCACAGTAATAAGCCCAAAAATCGTCGTCAATGTACACACCACATAAATCGCAGTCTTGGTCGAAATTGGTTAACTTGAAGTGCTGCTTAACGAGGAGAAGTGGGTGCGGGTGATCACTACAAGTGATGGTGCTCGGCGATAAAGCACAAGTCTTGTGAATCCAAAAACCGCAGGGGTGACACATATAGGATAAGTCTTTACTTTCTGTGCCACAAGCGTTACACCAGAACAATGCTTGTCTAGATATGACAGCTAATGGGTGCTCGTGACTTGTGTGTGTAATTGTGCGCTCCTCTAAGAAGCATGACATGCAAAGGTTAAATTGGCAAGAAATACAAGAGTAGTTGAACCGATTCAAAACTTTTCGACATGCATTACATGCGCATACAGAAGATGGATAAGGTGAATATGCATAGAGGGTGAGAAGGTGTTGGTAGTGTAGGGGGTCGTTAATTTCCTGGGGGAGTTCCGCACATCTTTTGTGGAGGAAGTAGTCACACAGGCCACAACTATACATAGAGTCCTCGAAGATTGTTTTCTCACACCCATAGCAAATAATTCTCCCACTTTCTTCCTCTTGCAGTTCTTTGAGAATCAGTGGATGGTCCTTATGGCTGAAATGTTGAAGCTCCATTTTCATGCAATGGGGGATTGCACTCAGAAGAAAGCCAGCAAGAGAGAGGGGGGAGATGGTCCGGTTTTAAAGGGCAAGGTACCGAATGAGACTTCAAATAAAAGGGGAATTACATTCCCTGGTTTTGTCATTTAACTTGACATTTGAAATATTATATACAAATTCTCTGAAATTTGTACGCGTGCAACATTTAAATCCTTATAATCAATGTTCGTCAGTATATCTGTTAATAAATTACACTCAAATCTCTTGAAGTTTGTAGACGTATAATACTTAAACCCCTTAAGTTTAAAATATTATATTTAAATAAAAAATACTCCAATTAAAGATAGAATATCAAATATTTTAAAATTTATAATCAAAATTCATGTTCTATTGTATCATTTAATAAAATAAAATAAAAAATAAAAATAAAAATTTTCCTTAAAAATGATAATTAGTAATAGGGGTCAAACTGTAATAGACGCAATATTTTCTATTTTTAATTGGAGTAATTTGGTAGTTTAATTTGATCGTTTAAATGGCCAAATTAAATTCCAATAATTTTTTAAGAAAAAAATTAAAATTAATTTTTTATTTTATTTCATTATATGCTATAATAAAATATGAATTTTGGTTATAAAATTTAAAATATTTTATATTCTATATTTGACTGGAGTTTTTTTTGGTAGAAATATAATATTTTAAACTTGAGAGGTCTAAATATTATACGCCTACAAAATTTAAAGGGTCTGAGTGTAATTTACTAACTGATATATTAACGGACATTGACGGTAGGAGTTTAAGTGTTACGCGCGTACAAACTTTAGGAGATATATATGTAATATTTTAAATATCAAAGAGGTCTAAATAATTAAATGATAAATTTTAAGAGGTTTGAATGTAATTTTCCCAAAATAAAAAATCGTCCAGACATCACGTGGGTGGGACCGTGGGAAGCTCAATGGTGGGAAAAAATTCCTTCAATGTATTTTTAGCACTTTTACTACTATACCCTTAAAAGCCTTAACTAATTTTGTTTTGCATAATAGTAAATATGTATAATTAAGATTAAACAGTGACTAATTCAAAAGCGTATGTCCTAATAATATGACAATGGTCGATATTTTTTATCGTGCTAAAAAATAATTTTAAAATTGTTATTTTAATTTGTAATCATTTATTGAAAAATAGTAATAAATAAATAAATAAATAATAAAATAAAATAAAAAAAAGTTATGGTGGTGCAATTTTACTAAACAGAAAGGGAGTGTATGATATATAAAATAATATTTTAGTACTATAATTGGACTCGATTGCACTAATATAATCTTTGAGTAACACTTTGGATTTTTTAAATATATTTTATTCGCTGTATCTTTTAAATTTTATGTTATTTTTATTAGAAGGTTACATTTATCGTCTTTTGTTTCTATGCCATGTTCCTCCTTTTTCAGGTCTCGGGGGTGCTTTCAGCTGCATCTCTGCTTCTTTCGATGGTATCCACTAAAGACAGTGGCGGGGGAAGCATATAACATAAACCTCCTACTACGCAATAACATGCCCACACACTTAAAGATGACTACTTTAGTATGTTGTTGGGTCATCAAGTTCAAAAGTTGATTGTGGCCAAGCCATTGAATATGATATTTCTGAGTTATTTTAGGGTTGTCTGATTCAAAAGTTGATCATAGGTAAGAGAATTTTCTTTACAGCTTAAAAATTGGTCACTTGGCTTTGGGACTGTAGCTTTGAAAGAGAAAGTGGATGATTAGGAAGTGATGCAAGAAAAGAATATGCATGGTTCTAATGAGCATGACAATGCACCTTTAGATGTTGATATATCCTTCTATGGATGACTATCAAGAGTAAGAAATTTTAGAACTTCTTATTTTTTTTTTTAATTAAATTTGTTTAATATATGTAATGAGTTGTTGGACTACATAACTTGTTGAATGAAATTGGGTTTCTAAAACCTAACTCCTTTGACCTTTATTCATTTAATAAGCCTATTTATTTATCTCTCATACCTTTACCCAAAATTGTGGCAAAGTCAAATGTTGAAAAGCCAAGTAGATATTTAGGCTAATTAGAGTGAACTATTGACTTAGCTATCATAAAAAGATCGAATTCTAGACAATTATCCTAAGGTTCGAGACTTCACAACAGCTAGAGAATTGTTGTTCACACATGCACAACTGCGCTTAAAGAGGGATGCTCTACTTCCTTTTCCTTTTTCTTTTCTCTTTTTTGGAGTTGCTTAAAGATGCTCTACATTCTTTTTCTTTTTCTTTTTCTATTCTCTTTTCTAGAGTGCAGAAGAGTGCTTTAGCTAAGACTTTATTTTGTTGCATTTTAGTTTAGAGTTGAATGGAAAGAGAGACAGAGGCGAGAGGAGGGAAAAAGACAATGAGCATCTAAAACCATTAGAGTACAACTTTTCTTTTCTTTTCTTTTTACATTTCTTGGGTGGTAGGTTTCTCTAGATGTCTTATTGGCATGAATTAAAGGGAATTATTATTGTTAGAGTATTTTAATAAAAAAGAGTATTCTTATCATTTTATGGAGGAAACTTAATCTCACATTAACAAAATTATTAAAAGAACTTGAGTTTATATGTTATACTAGTGCTATCAAGTGACCTTGAGACTCTCACGTGCATAGAAATGGAAAGAGCAGAGGAAATACAAGACGAAATCTGTAAAAAAAAAATACATAATAAAAAAATACAGTTCAACCAAAGATACCGATGTTTCTACTGTCTACTCTTGGACTAAAGAAGTTGGTATTTGAGTTGTCGAACATGGACTCCGTAGATACTTGGTATCTTAGTTTTTTTTTTTGAGGAGGTGTAAGTGGAAGGGGGGAGGGACTTGAACCTTTTACCTCAAGAAGACAAAATTTTTATAAGACGGAGAAAACTATTGGACCAAAGGCCTACTGGTCTTGATATCTTCGTTTGAACCTTAATCATTCGAATTTGATAGTAATTTAATATTTATTTTTTAATTTTACTTTTTTACTCAACCATGATTTATTATTATGATAAACAGGTCAAACATGTGTAATGCATGACGAGTTGATGATTTTCGTGTAAATTCAAAATATTATAATCGATTTTCTTATTTAGTGGGTAACACACGATTTATGTCGGGTAACTCGTCTAATAAACGGGTCGTGTATGAGTATAATAGTTGAACCCATTTATATAAATGAATGATGTATGAATAAAGAGTTTTTTGACACAAATCTATTCCACCCAACACAAATCCGTTTTATCCAACACGACTGTTAGGCATAATTGAAGATAATACCTATGAACCACACGCAATTTTATCACTTAGAGAAACCGTGAAAGCTAATAGCTTACATTGATGGGAAGGAGAGCCACATGCTTTGCAATTTTACTTTGAACTTTCACTTCGAGACAAGGGGTGCCTGTGAGCTTTATGTCCAAAAGCATTAGCTATGCAAGCACATTTGATGTCAAGACAGAATTCACATGTAGCACATATGTACCCGAAACCATTGCTGTGTTCTCTGCACAAGTTGCACTGAAACTATTTTTTCATCCTTTATCTCATTGTTGCCTTGCACATGGAAAAGTGTAAGTGGGTGCTCATGGGCAAAATGTGTTACCTCTGCTTCTCTTTCTCTCTCTTCAAGGTTCAATTGCTTAACAAAATTTCTTACGAAATCATCGGTCATTGGTCAACGGTAACTTCGCTAACTTAGTTGAAGTTGGTATTTTGTTGACTTATTATGTAAAAAATTGTCAACCTTAACTCAAGCCCTTTGCATTATTACATAATAAATTGAGACCGCAACTTTCTTCTTCGTAAGTGCTGATCACTTTGCTTTACACTCTGTTAAAAAAAATACGATAGCTTAACCTGTCAAGTTAATTCATTCGGATATCGAAATTTTAGCAGTTAATATTTTGAAGTTTTATCCCGTATATTGCAGGGTATTTCCTCATGATTTAACTTATATAGCTAAGGGAATTTTCTTTACAGCTTAAAAATTGGTCACTGGCCTTGGGATTACTGTAGCTAGGGAAGATAAAGTTGATCGTTAGGAAGTGATGCAAGAAAAGAATATGCATGGTTCCAATGAGCATTTGACCATTGACCTTTTGAACTCCGGAGGGTGGCCGAGATGTTGATGCTACTAGCGCCGATGCTTTTAAGGGTGACCGTTAAGAGTAAGTCTACCAATGAATCGAATTTCAGTCCAAATTCGATTCAAATTTTGGATAATCACGATTTTGGGTTATCTGGTGCAAAAGTTGATTGTAGTGGAGGGAATTTTCTTTACATCTTTGAATTGGTCGCCTGGCCTTGGGATTGTGGCTTGGAAATAGAAAGTTGATTAGGAAGTGATGCAGGAAAAGAATGTCATGGTTCCAATGAGCATGACCATACACCTTTGGAAGGTAGGGATGGCCGAGATGTAGATACATCCTTCTATGGATGACTGTCAAGAGTAAGAAATTTTAAAACTTCTTATTTTTTCCACATTCTTATTTTTTTTTAAATTTAAATTTGTTTCATATATCTAATGAGTTGTTAGACTATATAATTCATAAAATGAAATTGGGTTTCTAAAACACTACTCTTTTGACCTTTATTCATTTAATAAGTCTATTATTTCTCAGTTATATTCTTGAAATTTTATTTTAAGCTCAATTTACTTGTAAATAGAGCGCCTAATCCAAGAGCAAGGTATACACATGCTTACAAATTTTGCGGCAATATTATCTATCTCTCAAATCTTTACTCAAGATTGTGGCTAAGTCAAATGTCGAAAAGCCGAGCAGATACTTAAGGCTAATTAGAGTGAACTATTGATTTAGTTGTCATAAAAAGATTGAATTCCTGACAATTATTGTTCACGCACATATGTAAACTTGTTTAAAGAGGGATGCTTTGCTTTCTTTTTCTTTTCTCTTTTCTATTCGGGGTCAGGTATGCTCTACGTTCTGAGCATCATTTTTCTTCTTCTTCTTCTTTTTTTTTTTTCTCTTTTCTATTGTGGCTTGGGAATGCTCTGCATTTTTATTTTTTTTTCTTTTCTCTTTCCT